GCCTGGGAAAAACATCTTACTGCCTTCACACTCCTGTCGTGGAGGACAGCACGACTTTACCCCCAGGCCGCCTCGTAGCACGACTACTCGTAGTACGGGGTCTCGCTGCTCTTGGTCTGACTGCTCTTCTTCGGCCTTCCTGTCATGGTTGCACCTTCTGGAATGAATTTCAGCCAATACTACCCGCGGGATCATTGTACTGCTCAAGCCTGACTACCACGGCAGTGTGGCAACTTTAGGTCGGGATTATATAAGTAACTGGTATCCGAAGCGAACATGGAAGTTTACAATCTTTCAGAGCTTCAACGTTAAATGATATTTCCGGTTGTCCAGGTCCGGAAAAGAATCTTTCTTGGGGAATCCCACTTAGAGGCTTTGGCTAGAGAGTCTGAGTCACGCGGCAGTGAGTAGTAGGGCTGACTTAAGGGGCTTCCTAGGACCAATGAGACAAGACTCTGACTCTGGATGCATGGGAATGGCCCGGCCAGAAGGCGTAAGAAATAAACCACAAGTATATCACTCCCGCTGCCATTGTGGGTAGCGGATGCGTTTGGGTTTTTTCTAGGTTTTAATTTTATTTCTTCCGTATTGGATAGCTTGCAGTTGGTCACAATCAACGTTTGGGTGATCGGAATGTATAGCTTCTAGGAATGGTCTCAGCCACTGTCGAGTGAACCGAGTGAAGGCTGATACCTTCATGGAGTGCTTAGATGGTGCGGAAATGGTACAATGGCTGGAAATTCGTTTCACAATGTTAAATCATGCCAGTAAGCCCAAAGGGATCAGCCGACCGGAGTAGCGGACACAGTTCCTACGACCAACCGTCCTGCGAAGCTTCCGAAAGTAGAGTCATGCGGTCCTGAACGATTAGAGTGTCAACCAGTGACAAGAGACGTTTACTGGTTGCGCTCTTTAGGGCTTCCAAGCACGTACAATGTGAATCACCTGGACACGAGCCGAGAAACCGCGATGATCCCGAAGCACTTTGTCCTACTATAGTTGTTTTGATATGGCGTATCCACCTCATCACTTGTGTCCCGTGAAATTTTACCCAGAAAGTGTTGCAAATGTAACCTAAGACTCTGTGTTGAACAGTAAGTGGATTTGTATTGTACACATCCCGAATATTTTAACATATTAAGCCTTATTTGCTGTTACAGCGATTCAAGTTTTCTACTAGTTGGTGAACCACGCACCATTTTATTACGGACCCGTAGTCAACTAACAATTGGTCTGCAGCTTATGTGGTCAAATGTTTGAGGGCGGAGTGTACGTAGTCTTTCAAGTGAAAGTAGACTAGAGGGGTGCCTATCTTCTGCCTCTGTACCGCCAACATCTATCTGTAATCCAAATTCTGGAGAGGTGACTGGTGCCCCTGTTGCCAGCTTGAAACTACTTGAATTCGACATGTGTACTGATTTTTGAGCGCCATGTGCTTTTATATTGGTGTTTGTGTGATCACGCATGACAGACATCACGTGATATCCCTCGTAGGTACCAGCTTTCGATCATGAAACAGTTTGACGGGGAGTTGGAGTGAGTTAAACAAACAGGAAACCACAAAAAAAAACACTTTTAGGGCTTCCGAGGAACAAAACAGCATCCCATGAAGCAGCAAGCGAAACTTACGTTCGAAATTAAAGAGCCACTCTGTGATAGTTGCGCTGTGTATACAAACGAGAGCTCAAGATAGTTTCGCGGTTGAGGCCCGAAATTACTGACTGGAAAGTACGTAGTTCGAACCCAATCTCTGCATTCCGACCAGGCTTGAGCAACCTGACAGTATAACAGCCCTCGTACTTACTTCGAGTGGCACGGTAGCTAAGCACCGAAAAGGTGTTGTAAGTGACCGATGATTATTATTTATTATTGCATAAAGACAAGTGGGAAAACTCAGTGGGAAGCTGCTGAATAACCTGCCTAAAAACAACTTGTTTCAATGATACAGTAATATTGCCGTGAGAACTCAAAATGTTTCTTTCTCTTCTAACTGGAACTCCTCGTTTTATTGAATTTAGGCGATCATTTGCAAGCCGCGGAAAACAAGTATCTTTTTTGTAAGTAACCGGCTTTTACTCTATGTGACCAGATCTAGCTGCAACATATGCTTCTGGTCCCACACAGAACTATTCCGTTCAGTGTATGACGACCCTTCTGTTCTTCCCCTTTCCCGCTAGGTGCCTTAGTTCAGAGCCTGATGGGACTCCATTATCTCAGCCGAAGTCTAGTACGCCTAATAGTGATCTACCGAAGGCATTTACTGCACCTGTGAACGAGGTTTCCTCCATTATCCCTACGTCAAGTTCTTCTCTCCCCAATCAGGCAGCCACAGTGACGAGTAATGATCCATCTTCAGGTGAGCTGGGCTACATCCCGTCTTTTGTTTGGTCACCTTTTCATCTTCTTTGACTTAGGTGTTTGCATTCGTTGTGATGTGGTAGCCCTCTTCGGCCGAATATCACTAAGAGATCTAGTTAATTGATCGCGGATGCTAGATGTCCCAAAGGGTCGTTCCTACTTGGTCGGAAGAGGCCGTCGACGGTCAACACAAGTCCACTGGCTGGGTTCACCTTGAGTGCTAAGTGAGTCTTGCACCACAGACCGTAGGTGGTGGTTCAACGCAATTTTTCCTACCAAAAACCATTCCATGGCGTTTATTCCACTGAGACCAATGTTCTTCGTAAAGCAGTAAACCACAACGGATCCAAGACAGGTAATAGTGTTTCATTTTTTGGCACGGAAACCTGGAATTCAGTCCTCAAAAATAGGAGTTTTAGCTCATCACCACATTCACCTAGCACGGTTACAGTCCATGTAAAACCAAATCAGCAGTTTTAGATTGCGTGTACCACACTTTCCGTAGTGTTTACAGCCGATTCATCTGAGGTTTCGATGCGATGGAAAAGAGCATCCATCCCTTTAAAGTTGGTGCAGAAATTTTGCTGACGTTATTCTCCATCACATAGTAAGTTGAGCAAGTTGGACAAATTCCAGCCTTGAAAAACTTCGATATTCCTGATCAGACAAAGACATTCGTTTTCGGTAGATTTCCCAACAACGTTTGCGCTGTGTCCTAACGGGAGTCGATGCACTAATCGGTCCCTCTTCAAATCCATCGCATTGTTTCGCAGGCAAGACAGCGACATTTTTTGACTGTTTAGAAGCCAAGAAAGGACTCGATGAAATGAATTCAACGAGCACTTGACCAATCCGGTGAATAGCTCCATGTCGGCGTTAGTTCCATTCGTCGTTCCTGTCCTTCTTGGATGAATCTGGGGCAATTGGTCGTGCGGTTGCCACTGCCTCTGATTCGCATTGACATGAATGAACGCCATATGGCCGTAGTCGAATGTCCTGCCTATTTTCATTCACTGTCTCAACTCCCTCGTAAATGGAGAAAACTGTTCACGACATCTTAGAAGCCAAGAAAGGACTCGAGCACTTGACCAATCCGGTGAATAGTTTCATGTCGGCGTTAGTTACATTCGTTGTTCCTGTCCTTCTTGGATGAATCTGGGGCTTTAGAAGCCAAGAAAGGACTCGATGAAATGAATTCAACGAGCACTTGACCAATCCGGTGAATAGCTCCATGTCGGCGTTAGTTCCATTCGTCGTTCCTGTCCTTCTTGGATGAATCTGGGGCAATTGGTCGTGCGGTTGCCACTGCCTCTGATTCGCATTGACATGAATGAACGCCATATGGCCGTAGTCGAATGTCCTGCCTATTTTCATTCACTGTCTCAACTCCCTCGTAAATGGAGAAAACTGTTCACGACATAGAAGAATCATGGAGGCGAACCTATTCAAGGGATGACCTCGGGATAGTCTGATTCTCTTAGTTCATGAGGAATGCCTGCAATGCATGACTCTACGACTTTGGCGGACTTTGGTTGTTTGTTCCCGGAATTATCCAACTGCGTTGGTGATAACCGTCCAGTAGTGCGTCAAAAATGCTGGAAAAATCACTCCGTGAAGAGCTGGACCAATACGGAAGAGCTTTTTCCGTCGTTCCTTTCTTGGATGAATCTGGGGCAATTGGTCGTGCGGTTGCCACTGCCTCTGATTCGCATTGACATGAATGAACGCCATATGGCCGTAGTCGAATGTCCTGCCTATTTTCATTCACTGTCTCAACTCCCTCGTAAATGGAGAAAACTGTTCACGACATAGAAGAATCATGGAGGCGAACCTATTCAAGGGATGACCTCGGGATAGTCTGATTCTCTTAGTTCATGAGGAATGCCTGCAATGCATGACTCTACGACTTTGGCGGACTTTGGTTGTTTGTTCTCGGAATTATCCAACTGCGTTGGTGATAACCGTCCAGTAGTGCGTCAAAAATGCTGAAAAAATCACTCCGTGAAGAGCTGGACCAATACGGAAGAGCTTTTTCTTCCATGGGTGTAATTTTGGTCGAGGAGTAAAAACCTGAAACACTTGGCAATACACAAAAACTGAGGTACGATCGATAGGTGAGAAAGTGATATTGATTATTGTATAGACGTAATGCATTACTCATAGCGTTGCTGAAAACGCCTCGACAACCCATGACCGGTTTCGCCCCTCTTGGGGCTCATCAGGTAGTCGCAGTCCCGGGGTTTCTGTTAACCTTACGTTCTGCTTGGACCCAAATTGTATGAACTTCGACTTCGATTACGAACGTCAAAAATGAGAGATTCAGCTTGGTTCACATGGGCGTGGAACAGAAAGGGTTCAGAAGAATTTGACGTCTACATTTATTTGCATACCAATTTGGTTTCACCCGGAAGCCAACTGAATCTCTCGCTTATGATGTTCTTCAGCTGGGTTCCATATCAGTATCCCGTCGAAAACAAAATGCCATGCAAATGAGTGTATTTCGCTAATTTCGTGCAACCTGGGTTCACGTGAAACATAAGGTTGGCGGAAACCCTGGGACTGCGTCGACCTGATGAGACCGAAGTGAAAGAGCGAAACCGGTCGTGAGCCGTTGATGAGTTTTCAGCAACCTTATGAGTAGTATGCTACGTCTATACAATGTATCGCGATATCTCGAATATCGTATCAACTTAAACACGGAGCGGTCTGTTGCAGCACATTTAATTGGGAAGAACACCATAAACAATCGATTCAGCTGGGTCCCAGGTGAGTCTCCCGTGAGAACTAAATTGGTACCGTGACAACCATGTGATCGATTGGTCCGGGATCATCCACTCTAAGCACGGTTTGGTAAAATACTAAGTCTGAAGCGAAAATATTAGTTTGGTAGGGTCATGTAAATTACCATCAGATTCGTCTTGCTCAGCTGTTTTATAAAGTCCAGAACATGTCGGCGTATCATATGGTCACGTGAACTTCGGTGGGAGACGTACAATTTATCGGATTCCGATTTGGCGTAATATTCTTCGGGATTTGGGTAGTTGTAGTAAGGTGTGAAGGTTGATCAAACCGTCGGCATCGGAAATCTGAAATAACCAGTTTTAGACCTGAACCTCAGTCTCTGTAAAGTAATTAGGACTTTAATTTCACTCACGCTCGATCTCTCAGCGCCTGATATCCTTTTACACTTTAGCTTCCCCTCCACCAACTGTCACTCCGGCAGAACCGTCGGAGCCTCCCACAGACCCACACAAACGCGGTCGCAAATTCCTGTACCGGCTTGCCCCGTTACTCAAGCTTACTTTGCCTTCACGCGTTGAGCGGAGACGCACTCAGAGCGTGTTCAACCTCCAGGATGAAGCAGCTCCGACCGGAAAATCTGGCAGCTATCTGCATCAGAACAATCAAACGTTGTCTCCACGTTCGGGTGGTATTCGCACAACAGCATGCGAAAGACAGTGGATCCGTCACGGAACCCTAGTTGTAAGTATCGAGATTGATTGTCGATCGCTTGATATGTTCACTGCCTCACTCATCTACTTTTTATGCGACAATATCTATCACACCATGATGCGATTCCGAATTTCTGATTATTACGGCAAGCTTTTATCATGTAGAACTAACGTCTGAAGCTCCCGATTCCGACCAAGTTCGGCTTTGTGCACAGGTGACAGCTGAGGACGCTGCGATCCCGTGGACCAATCAAAAGTGAGCGCATCAAACGTGTTTCCGACGCGTCGTGCATCCTACACATTGATTGGCAAACTGCTCTGCAGATCAGTTGATGGAGTGACCCATCTGTCTAGCAGACAATTGTGAACCAGTGGAAGTGCCATAAACATGTTTATCAAAAACACCAGACGTAGGCTGACTTACCCGGTCGGTGCCGACAGTGCTGGGTGCATTTTGATCATTCCACTAAACAGTGAACTGAAAAATTGCCACTCCACCCGAGTCAAAACCATCAACTGGCTATCCCAACTAATATGTATCCTTAAGTCCGAATGGAACGGGGATGTTATCTAGAGCTAATACCTGAATTGTCGTGGGCGTTACTTTCGGTTCCTAATTAGTTAGTCGGCAATTTTGATATTGGCTATGTATAGGTCAGTAAGTACTGTGTCATCAAAGTGGTCTAACAAATTTATTTCAGACAATAGTCGGGAGTGAGTCATCTGCTCCTGCAGAAAGTATGTGCGTTGGTCTCGTACGGGTTTCTGTTTGTGCACCTTGTGTGATCTCCTCGCCGAAAGCTCACATTATTCATCAAAAGTGCATATAAACCACTCACTCGTAATTTGCTGCGGGATTGGGGACATTTGATCGCCTAGCCGAAAGCACTAAATTTCACCAGAACGATCCCGTTTACCGCTTTACTTGAGATTGCTTAGTGGTTAAAACGCGGATTTACTGACCGGAAGGTCTGTGGTTCGAACCCATCCTCAGCATCTCGACTATTCCTGTTTAGGTTTGATAAACTTGGCAGTATCCCAACTCTGGTGCTTTCTTCGGGCGACGTGGCAGGTAGGCACCAAAAGGGTGCTACAGCCGGAAGATTTTGATTTGATTGTTCAAACCCCGTTTACCGCACGACTACTCTTCTTACCACCTAAGTGCGATTTTTTTGTTGGAGATCTTCACTCAGAAATTAAGTTAACAGGTACAATCTAAGCCCCGAGAGTATACCCTCCCTCTGTGTCGGACGTTTAAACTGTGTGCACCAATCCTCCGAACAACAAACATTTTGATCAAATTCGCTGCTACACTGTAGCAGTGATGTGGTCTCCCGCGTCCGCTTCGTCTATAGAGTTAAATCTGTTACCTTGACTTCATTTTGGCGTTTCTTACTGTGGACAGGCAACTCTCCACGTAAGCTTCAATCTGTCAGATGCTCCGTTTCCTAATTTGGCTGTCTGGATGTTTGTTTTACTTTTTACTGCCAGAGTTGGACGGCAGTGCGTCCTGCTCTGCCCAGTAAAACAGGTGTTCTTTAAGGCTCGTTGTCATCTTTTTACGCCTTATATGGTTAATCCTAGGACCCCTTCTTCACATCCCATGTGTGGTATTAAATTAGTATATTGTATACCATTGACCACATTAACCATACTGAGAAATCTTCATCTAATCTACTCTCTTCCTGTTCCCGAATAAACCTACGATTCAAACGCTCCCAGCGCGTAACGGGTAACCTTTTCACTCTCATTCTGTTGTTGCCCCTGGGCCCTGCAGGGCATCTTCCCAGCTACATGTATGTAGGACTAGAAGTTACTTTTCCGATTTTTTCTCCACACGCTTGGATTCTTCCGTGCGACCTTCCAATACAAACGATGAAGAGATAAAAGTTACGGTTTTTAATATCTGGGTTCAGTCGTCTTGCTCAAAGGACACGCTAACGCAGAAGTTCAGCGTCGGAATGAAAGTGCAGGTAAACAACTCATTGTAGAGAACGGACGGGATACGCTTGCGTGCAGAGCTTAGGGTCTCACACACGCTGACCCCCAAACCCAATTTACTTTTGTGAATTTTATGAGCAGAGACTACCAAAAGCGCCCAATGCTGATGTCCAAAAGGGTAATCCTGATCTGTAACACCTAACTTAGGTGCTTCAGTGATAGGATCCGCAACGCTTTGGGTCTATTCTTTCTAGAACGATGCTGGAATCCGCAAACAAACCTTAGTCCGTACACCGTGTCACCGATGGCGTTATCACCTTGAGGGACAATGAAGAACGTGGCTCATCACGATCAACGACAATATAAAGCAACTTGGCTCCCACACGATCTTCGTAATTCGTCACCAGGGCCAATACTAGATTGAGATTTCTCCACATCTGACAACCGATTTTCGCTTGTTAACCGCCGCCGATGTTGACTAATTTTGACCCAAGGGTTGATTGCATAAAAGCAAAGTAACTACGTAGTGATCACTTGTGTTACTGTAAAATGAGTAGCCACAGACTCACTGTCTGTTACAGGTAGCGCTCTAGAAGAGCAACGGCCAGCTCCCCAGACTCAAATAAATGCTGGATAGTGTGAGTGACAGCGCCTTAGTTTACGCTTTATTGTTTTTATACCTAGCTTCAATGTTACATAAGATAGCAAAGTGAAGTTGCGTTGGAGTTGGAATTGAGAGCGCATAGTTACCTGAGTTGGACTGATCGATTGAAGCGTGGGATGAGCATGCTTTGGAAGATTGAGAGCATGACTTGACAATGGGCGTTCTGTGAGTTGGTTAGATGAGGTGAGTTGTGTGTTTACCTTTCGGTAGGAGTGTGTAGCTCACCTTCATGTGAAAAACTTATTTGCACTCTCGACGAACTTCGACCTAGTCAGTCTGTGTGCATTTTTGGATTACAGTCGATGGCCCACACATCGTTGTGTGCGTCTTGACGCTTCTAGTTTTCAACCCGGATCGTTGTTTAGTTCAATACTCATTAAGAAATGCAATATGTCGTTGCTATACCCTTGCTTGTCTCGAAACGTCGCGCGGATGATCAATCCGCCAAGTTAGCTTGGCGCGCGTTTCAAGGTCGTATGGCTTTGACAGCGCTAGTCAGTGGACAATGGGTGGAAGGATACACTTTGTCCATGGGTTGTGATTAGGGGTGATTGGAAATCTGCCGGATCAATGTGATTTTCGGGCCTAACAGCAAAAGGTGTTCTGCTTTACAATGACTTTACCTTTGTCGGAAAAGTGCTGGTGCAACATGGGACTACACAATCCCTCAAGTTGTGATGGTGAATTCAATTATCGACTCATCCATTTCAAGCTCGAGATAACTCCGCTGTTAGGGCGCCGAGCTAATGACCGCGAGACTTGAAGTTCGAATCCAACCCTGGCTTTTCAATTACTTCTGTCCCGGCTTGGACAGCCTGGCAATACTTCCTTGTCCTCGTACCTCCGGATTGCGCGGTTTCTGTGCATCGACGAAGTTCCAGTCCTGAACAGTTACCGGTTTTTATTTTCAATGTTAATGTGTCCTAATAATCGTAATTTAGGGATGGCTGTAACCAATCGTTAGAGAACTTTGGTTCAACATTGAAGAAAAGTTTGGTCCCTCCGATGGCTCAGTTCTAGTGGAACATATGACTAGGTATCTCTCCAGTTTCCCAAACGTACCCCGTGTTATATGACAGAATGATTTGGATCACACTGGATGGAGATTGTGTTGTTAGGAGTCTTCGGTAAAGCTATCAAAACAAACTTCACGGTTTACTGAGTCATCGTCATCATCATCGACAGCAGTGTTCAACACCAATGCCTCACTGCCATGCAGCCATGATTTATTTGAAAGTCTTATTGTAATGGAAAAAAGTAGAGGTGGACGGGAAAGGGACTTAGTGCTAGCTTACCACAATCATTCCGAGGTGCCTACACCTCCAGACATTCACTCGGGTGATCTGGATAGAAACTGACAACAAGAACACTACTGAGATCGGTTGGCAGCCATATCTTTTAGTGTCCCCAACCAGGCACAGTGAGGATCACGCGGTCTCTATCCTGGAAGGCGAGCAGCACCGACAGCACACAAGCGTTTCGTGATCTCCTTCATACTCCTCTGCTAAGTCAAAGGTTGGCCACCTCTCTGTTTACGCCACTCTGAGTTGGGTATGGAAAACAGTGTTTACTGGGTAGATGTGCGTTGACTCACTGTCTGAAGAACTGGAGACTAGTGGCGGTTCGGGAGCACAGGAATTGCTGGAGATTTCCCTAGATGAGTTATTCCGGAGAAGTGAAGTCAACACTCTGGCCAATTTCGGACGCGACACAGTGGTATCTGGTGTCGTACACTCGACGGGAATGCATCAAACCGGACCTACCCAGCATGAATTGCTTACAGGACTTTCCAGTTGGAGACCGCAAACTCTGCCGATACCCTTTTTCATTTATTTCTGCTTGCTTATTTGAGAAGTGCTGAGCCACATGTACTTGTGGGAGGAAAATGCGAGGAATTTCCCAACACTGGACGGGACTAGGAGGCGATATATTACGCAATTAGACGCATGATAGTGGTCTGTTGCCACCCTACCTATCGATTGTAGCTATCCATTATGACAAGTTCAGCTCTTGATGAATATCAGGCCCATTTACTAACAGTATAATGTCGAATTCACTTTTTGAATTTTGAACACCTTCATTTTCTCGAACTCGAGTGCCACTGAATGTACCTACTAACGAAGCTTCTATGAGCCATTCGTTGATTGGTTGATCGATTAGCGTGCATCAGCACTACGAAACACTGGAAAATTCCGTCCATCAATTGGGACGCATCAAATGACGCAGTACAAAGTTCACACACAGACACATATTTTGTTTTGATGTGCACGTCGGAATGACTTTCCTGGTCGTCAACCGAGCCAGATACTTGAAATTGTTGCCCTACACTGAAGAAGCTGAGGTACAACATACCTGCCACTAGACTAGGTAGTTTGGTTCCAGGGTTTCCGTTTTAGCATCAATGGCGCGCAGTCTTCACCGTGGTATCCTATTGAGACTCCAGCTGAGCCAATGTCGCGTTCCATCTATGCCACCCTTTGTCGACGTTACTCGACTCTTCACACCCAAGGCCTGTGGACAGATAGGGACTACGTTCATGATATACCGGTGAAAGATGTGTACTGTGCATCAGATACCTAAGGGCTAAACGCCAACACGCCCCACATGCTCCAGGTCTGATTGACCGGACATATCGATCCGTTGCTTGGTCCGAGCTGCACGGCATTTATGCATTGAAAACGTTCCACACCCAGGAAACGAGCTGTTTGGATCCACAGGGTTTTTCCTTGTCACCAACTACGGAACACAAACAACGGCCCTGACTGACCGATTTTGTGCCCTCAGGCTGCCCAAAGTGTCCCTATTGCTAGAACTTTTGTGCCGAAGTTTGAAATGCAGTGGTCTGGACTGCGATTTCACCGCCTGAGCTGCTGCAGACGCTGGTGTGCGTCACATTGAGGTAACCAAGTTCACGACCGATTCATCCTACCGACCGGATTCATTCTGGACAAGTACATTTACTTCTAGGTCAACTTTGACAAGCCCCCAGGCTCAGGTTTTCTTCCGTGCTGCATATATTTAAACTTCCAGTTTTCGATAATGTTGCTTATTTCGACGAATTACTCGTATCATGCTCTCATGATCCAGTGCTTTCTAACTGTTTTAGCTGTCTTCTCGATGATATCCCGGATTTAGTACCATGCAGAGGCGTTTTTTTATCGAGTATTCCATCACTACCCGAACACCACACCCTTCTTACCGTTCAACTGTGAATGTACTTTTTTTTGCTTCAGCATCACTGTGTCAGTTTCATTGAGGATAAATCGTTGACCGGAATGGGTGGTTCGTTCGCTTCCGGGACCCGGGCCCAGACAGTGTGGCGTTTGTGTTGAGCGCACCGGAAATCCCCTCCCCATAAGATAGGCAGTTCCTTTGGCATGCAGTTACGGGTGCGTGGCGAACAGTTCGAAAAGGAACTTGGGCATAGAGTTTCCTTGGCCAAAAAGGTCATTGCACACCTCGTCTCGTTTGACCTTTCGGGAACTGATAGTGCGCGTCAGGCAGAACCAAGCATCTATTCTGAAAGGTATGCAAACCCATGTGTCTGGATCTTGGAGGACATCTTTTGGTGTCTTTTTCGTTTGGTCGCAATAACCTCAGTGACTTTTGGGTTACCTAATGATCGAGCGAAATCTCATCAGAGATCCCCCATTCCTGGAGTTCGACCAGATTATTACTGTCGTCTGATGTGTACAAGACAATTTATCCCTTTGACTAACCGCTCATCACTGTCACTTGAAGCTGCTCATTCCAACTTTCATTTTACTTGCAACTTACTCGGGTACCACGAAACCATTCAGTACCCGATTGTCTGGTCTAGCTTTTTTTTAATATTTTCTTTGGATTTCTTCATTCAGTTAGCCCAATGCTAGCTTCTTGTTGTAGTTATTTTCTGTCTGCTCGTGTTTGGAACCTATTGTGATACATTGGTTCCGACGATCCATAAAACTTGCGCTCACATTCAGGTTCGCGAGCAACACATTCCGCACGTGCATGTCAGCTCCACGATCACCGGTGTGCTTTCGAATGGTTCACGCAACCGTAAAAAGGTGTTTTTATGTCTGATTGCCCCCATGGCAGCGAGATGGCTTAGTAGTTAGGGCGCAAATTTACTGAACGGAAGGTCCGTTGTTCAAGCCCGACCTCTGCCTTTCGACTTCTGTGTAGGCTTGGGCAACCCGGCAGTATACCAGCCCTCACGCTTCCTTCTGGTTGCATGGCAGCTAGACACCGATAGAGTGCTACAGTTGAACGACGGATGGACTGCCCCCTATACCGGCAACCCTACCTCTTTTTTGAATTTGAAAGCCGACCTCTGGTTTGCACAAATGAATTGTGTCAGTGTGTGGATAGTTTTGTGTGTCTTGAATTCCTCGATCTCGAGTCCCCTGAGTAGCTGTTATTTTAATGGAGCTGCACTGAAACGAGAATTGTCACGATGATCACCTTGAGAACTTTATGCAGGGTGTCTCATAATAGACGCAAAATTTGATTGGGATTGGTCAATGAGAGGAAGGATGACGAAATATTTCATTATTAGCAGCCATATAAAAGAGGTTCTGTGTGCGAGTGGTGGCATTTTTTTCTTTTCACGATAGATGTCAGTAAGCGCATTGAAATTACGATGGATGGCACGCATTGAAATTGTGAAACTCTATTATTCATTTGGTGAAAGCGACATCGCTACACTTCGTGGTTACAAAACCAAACATCGTCTCATCAAAGATCCTTTCACCGTGTCGACCGTCACACGCTTGATTGTGAAATTTGAGTCCATTGGATCTGTACTGGATTTTCCTGGCAATGGGTGAAAGTCTTTGAGTGGTGAAAGAGCACTCATTGTACAGAATGCCGTCAAGCAACTTCATTCCCAGAGCACCATGGCATCTTCGTCAATAGCTCAGGTGTTTCAGCTGACCGGCATTCCCCGCGCCGGCTTGTATCGTATTATGAGACGCCTCCTTCATCTCTACCGTATCATTTCACTTTATTACGAAACATCACGGAAGAAGGCAAGGAGCAACGTGTCACGTTCGGTAACTGGCTGCTGGACAATGAAGAAATCGTTTCCAACATTTTCTGGAGCGATGAAGCAAATTTTTCTGTGGATGGCATAATCAACAAGCACAATTGTATGGTATGGTCCCGTGAAGCTCCTCACGAGTACCTCACCCATAACCTCCATTCCCCTCATCTCCGTATGTGGATGGGATTATGGATGGGATTCTCCTCTGAGTCCCTTTTTCTTTGGTGCTACGGGTTTCCAACGACAGTTACCTCCATCTGCTGCAGACGCATGTTATCTCTTAACTCAAGCAGTACAAAAAGTCATCGACCGTCTTTCAAGAAGATAGCGCTCCACTCCACCACATAAACCAAGTGAGAACTTACCTCCGAAAACAATTTTCTAATGAGTCATTGCTCGTGGATTCAAGTGGTCGTCAGCTGGTTCTTCGCCGAGCTGGGCTTGAACAGGCATCATCAGTGCGCGATTGTATGCTTCCCTACTCGTGTTCATGCAATATCTGATATACATGGTTGCCATAGGCCAATTGACAGGGCAGATTAGTCGAAATTTCATTGATCCGTCTGCAAATTGATCAGTAACCAACCCGAACTGTCAGTATTTCCGTCCTTTATTGCACTTCCCCATGTCCTTGACAGCGTTGTGCTAAAACAGTACACTTCGCAAATGTTTGTGCAACTTCTATTCTTTCTGCCACCCCAATCCCCGCTTCAGTTCGAGTGTTCCACTAGCGTCCTATATCGAACGAATTCGAATCGCCCATTTAGCCGTCGCTGATATACTCGAAAAGGCCGATCGTGTTGAACAGGCCTGGAGTTCGGAAGCTCGGATGACTGCTGACATTGTCGACTGGATATTGCCTGAGGTAGGGCTCCAGATAGGTGTGTTGTTTCGACTGTGTTTATGTTCTTCACCGTGCGGCGTTTGTTCACATTCCCTTCCTCACCTTTGCCAGGTATGGTCCCGTCTCACATGTCTCCGTCAATGGTCTGGTCGTTTGTTGATTATCCAACGCGGTCTAAGCCAGTTGTGTGCGTTTTTGCACAATTGTTCATCTGGGACTATCAGATGTTCCACTCACAGTCGTCCGCAGCAAGGCTCGAATCTGCACGAAACTGAAGGTACGCCTTTCTTTGTATGTCCACAGCGTAGTACGTACTAATGAAGTGGGCCACTGCTTATTGATTGGAAATCTTGAGGCAGTCGGATGGAATTTTTGGTGCAGTTTTCTTGGCCTAACTGGATTCCAGGATGCCAGTTTCGTGTGGAGTGTCAACGACTCATAAACCGCACGAGACTCTCTTGTAGTAACGTTTTAGGTTGAGTCTACTCAACGTTGTCCATCTACTATTCACTTGTGCGTTTCGCTCGACTTGACTACTGTCCCGTTTGATAAGGGTGAATGGGGACATGGTCTCTAGGCGTTTGGAGGGGCTCTTTCCCCATTTTAACACGTTGCTAGGGTCTTTAGGTCGGGGGTTGCCTTTGTACAACTCTATCCTAGGGTCTGATAGCTTGTGGAGAAATGCCCAAAGTGAAGTCAGTCCATGCGGGAGAGGCTTGGGGCAGTTTGTGGCTGTATCATTCTTGTTAGGAACTATTTCCAGTCCGTATCTCCGATTGGATTAGGTTCCACAGTCTTCCGAATAGAAGTTTGGACACTGGGGTTCTGATACGCTTGGCTCTAGTTTCACGTGCAATTGTTGTTTCCCACTTAAAAAAGAAGGCTGACAAATATGAGATCAAACTCCTGATGCACACAGTTTCATCGTGAATATCGGGCTCCACAGGTGGGTGGGTCGCTTGCTGCAATCCCAAGTTTAGATTGTTCGGGGCATATACTCATTTGCAAACTAATTTAGTTTTTCGAGATACTCACCTGGAACCCAACTAAATCTCTCGTTTGTGATGTTTTCAGGCAACTGAACGTGCTGCACCAGGCCGCCTCATGTTTCAGTCGTTACGATATTCGAGATATCGCGATACATGTATGTATTTGTGATGTATTACTCATAAGGTTGCTGAAAATCCGTCGACAGCCCACGACCGGTTTCGCCCTTTTTGGGGCTCATCAGGTAGTCGCATTTTCCACTTCTTTATACGTTTTTAGTCACTCATCCGATAGAGGGAACTTTGAGAACTCATGTACTCACTATCATTTGGACATACTCGACCACTTGGTTCTTGAATCCTTTGGAAGTTTTTTTAAACGGAAATCGATCCACTCATCTTTACCTTTTTCAAATTCGCTTTTGTACTGCCAACTTCACGCTCTTCAGTTAGTTGTTGTTGTAGAAACTATTTTCAGCAATACAACTGCCACTTAACCTGACTGTTAGTTCGCTGGAGTTCCGCTTCATAAATTTCGTTTTCAGGATTCTCGGAGGAAATAATCACGTGTCCCCTGCTTGCTGTTGGTTCGAATGAAGCGTGGAAACGACTGTGCCGTCAATTTCTTCTTGACTCCTGGTACATGTGTGCGTTACCGAACCACGAACAGTCCCCTACACAGCGTGGGGTTTCTACCGAGATTCCTGGTGGATACTCCGTAGCCCTGATTCGTTTGAATCGCTTGGTTGATCGTTTGTTGACGGAAATTCGTGGAAATCGCTTGGGTGGTCGGTCCCCTCTGCCGGAGCCTGTTCCTTCTCGTGGAAAAGCGACACAAACTTGTTCTCCTCTTCACCGGAATGCAACCACTGTGAAAAATGTTTCGTCAACGTAAGTCAGAGTTGTTTTCAAATTTTCTGGAGTACTCCAACTTCCCTAGAATCGATCTTACCATGGTTGTATATCCTAGGAGAAGGGTTGTTCACACGTTTTTCACAAATTCTCGGGGGAGGACTGTCTACGATATGGATTGGTTTTTCTTGGTCACGAGCTTCCCGATTTATGATGATTTCCTCTTACATTCGTGTAGTTTGTTCCAGCGCATCCGGGAGCCTTGTTTACCCGCCCGCGCACTTTGTGTCAAATGCTCGTCAGAGAACGTGATATCATCGGTGAACTCGGATCCCGCCCTCTTACGTGAACCTCAACCGTCCGGTGTTAATGTTGGCTCGTCTTCCCAGTGTGCTGCTTCGCCGAACCACCGCGTCATCCAGGCTCAAAACAACGGATCGACAGCTATTGAATTGTCCACTCTCACGGTAGGTTCCACGATTTGGCACTCCCCATTAGTTCCCTCTGGCTCATCCGTTCATATTGATTTTTCTCCCGCCGTTTTATCTGTGTCCAATTTTCCTCACACGAATCGTGCAGTTATTCCGGCTTTGGAGCACGAAGAGTGACGACATGACCAGCTCATTGACTAGTTGACTAGTTCGAGTGTTCTGATAAACTAGAAAGTTGGAGACTCGTTTAATTAAAGAGATGCAGTTGATGCATGAGCTATGTTACCGATTAACCAATGTCCTTACTCCAGGAGTTCCCATCCATGGGTACGGTAGTTGCCACTGTGACCTAATTCGCCAGTCAGTGTGGACATTCTTTGTTGTCAGTTCGCAGGTCACCCTGAGTTGGAACCGGTCTGCGAAACAGACTGTCCACGGACATGGGAACTGCGTTACCAAATCGGCGTTACCTATGTGCTTTTACTATTGTTCAAAATTCTGATCATTGAATAGTTAACGTCGTGACTTCCTACTCGACTGAAGTGACTCGGGGTCATTGTACCGCCTTACACGCAATGTCTTTACAGGTTGGCGTGGGATCGCATCCCCATTGTTTTTATGTGGTAACCCGTGGCAACCACATTAACAAGAATGCCCCAAGACAAGAAGACGAGAAGTCGAAGAAGAGAGAAAGGACCGCGTTTGCTAAGTGAAGCCGACGGCAATCTGATGTCGATCCCGCGATAAACCGAGGGGTTTGTAATGCATCGATTACTTTAGTTGGGCTGTGCGCGTACAAGACGTGGGGCGATTGTCCATTTCTGATCACCGACGCTTTTGCATTACTGGCGAGACCTGATCGTAGTGGTCCCTTATAGAAGAAGGTCGTAGGCTCAGTGGTTAGAGTGCAAATTTACTGACCGGAAGGTCCGTGGTTCGAACCCGATCTCTGCCTCTCGACTTCCTCTGTGTAGGCTTGGGCGACCTAGCAGTATTCCAGCCTTCGTGCTTTCTTTGGATGGCATGGCAGTTGGGCACCGAAAGGGTGCTACAACTGAAAGAACGAGCGGAGGTCGTTATTGCAGGAGGATAGCCCACGTTTAATATGATAGTCGAATAAGCACTAACTCAGATAGTTACCTTTATGGGAAATCTATCGTGTTTGCTTGTACTCCTTACTATTTTTCCCTTAAATGATCCCGTCCAAAAAAATGTTACTAGGCACTTAAATGTCAGGTATTTTCGATAATTCTAATTAATCCAGGCAGTTCCTGTTCGACTTATCCCGTGGTCCTAAAACATCTGTTTGCTTTCGGTTTCCAGTCACTGTTTCATCTCCCTTCGAGCCGTTTTTAGATTGGTCGTCTGCATAAAGTTTCTGAAACCACTGCTATCTAATCAGTCGCTAATCATGTTCCTGTGGCCGAACGGGACTTGAAAATAGCGCAATTGGTTTTCCCCTTGTAGTCATAGAGTACCTGTCTTGAAAATAGGACGTCTGAGAGTGGATCTGTTGGTTTAAGCCGGAGAATGAATGTAGTGACGGAGTGAATTCAATTTGCGTGGTATCACGAGGTTTGAAGATTATCCATTCTCCTCCTGCCAGTGCTATTTCGAGGTTCGTGCACTAAGACCCACGGGATCTGAAAACGTACCCTCATGAGATAGCAGCTTTGTTGTATTTTGACGGTACGGCCTCCGGTGGGTCTGTGAGAAGAACCACCAATGGTACACCCCAAAGCGGGGAAAAACAGGCACAGAGTACCTAAAGTGGACGTAACGACGACGCAATGTGAATTCGGACATTGGCAACCGGCATTCAGCGCGCGCGGGGACCTGATTAGCTGCTGGATCCCACATTTTCAACCACTCAGAGGTCGCCGGATGCTGGATCCGATAAGCGGTCCGATCTTCCGACCAATGACGTGTGAGTCGGTCTTTGCAGCGCCCGATCGCAAGTGGAAAAGCGCTTTTGGTATGAGGTTTCACATAACTCTGTAGCCGTTGCATCGATAACAGCTGACAACTTTGCATTAGCGTTCCGCTTGACGTCTGTCCTACCTACATTTCACCTTATCATATCCTCATGAAGAATCGTCTAAGGATCTGGGGCATTCAGGTGAATCCCCGGCACACAGGCGAACTCTCACAAAAACGACTGAGTTTAGCGCTAACGTTGTGCTCATTTTGCATGGTGCATCTTCAGATTTTCCGTGCTACACACGAGTCAGATGACTGCTTCATCATCCGGAACGCACACCGGAGGTGTAAACCGTTAGAGCTAAGCTTCGCATCTGAGCATCCGAACGTTTATAAAGGACTCAACTGTCTGACCAAATAGAGTGCGTATTTCCCGATTTCTGAGAACCGTTGGTCCCTGTTAGTGATTAGTAATACCGAAATTGCGTGATATTTTCCCATCCGTTTGCTTTGACGTTTAACCCATCTGTCCAGTAGTAAAATTCCCGGAAACAGGGCGAAGTGGTTTCTTCCTGGTTCAAGACAAGCCCCTGTGAATGCAGGTGCTTGATAAGGTAGCTGTCATTTCAGTAATTTGAGCAGTTGGTTCACCATCCTGATTTCATTTTGCACTTGCCACTGCTGTCGTATGTAGCGAATATGTTGTATTTAAACCAAACTAATTCATGATTCAGGACGGTTTTTGTTTGCTCGCACTGAATTAGTGGTTCAAAGAATGGCTGCTTCATTTAGAGGGAAGCGCAATAATTTTGGTGAACTGAATGGTTGTCACAATGTGCTTCTAAAACAGTTGCCTGTATCTTTCAGTGGTGGCACACCCTACGAAAAAAGCTCCAACAGAGGTCTCCGGCATCTTACGCTTCGGTGGTCAAGCGACGTTCATGGAACGGATGCATTTCTCCCTTGGAGTTGAATATTCCTCATTCAGATGGTGTTCAAACGCCTCATGTTGGTGGGCTTCCGGTCAAATGGGAAATCTGCTCCCCATCGCACTCCGTGTCTCCCCATGGGCGATCCACATCCAGCACACCGTCGCCACCGTCTTCACCACACCGTTCCGATAGCGACCACAGCTCTGTCAGCACCACTCCCAAATCTGTCTCAGACAATTCTTCTTCGTCCAGTTCCTCACTGAACTCGTTTCCACAAACCGGATGTGCCCTGGCAGAGTCGCCTACCTCCACCACATCTGAAGGAACTTCCTACTGGTCGGTTGATCTCCCCGATATCCATCCTCTCGAAAAATCACCGTCGACTTCGGCTAGTCCGGTTAGTCCTGTACAACAGGACGTTGGATTGGAGTTGGGGCTACCTCCCTTGGTATTTTTATGGCTTTGTCTGGCCCGCATCCCGTTCTACGTTACACGGGAAAGTGTCACTATGAAACTAGAACAGTATGCGGACCGTGTTAACGCGTAAGGGTTATCACTTAAATGCTAACGAATTCTGGATGGTGTCCGACACCCAGCCCGAGAAAACATGTTGGGCTCTTCGTATTTCCCTTATTTTAGTGCTCGCCACACTGATGGGGTTTGTGATGTAGGTCTGTAGTCATTTTTACCCGGTCACTGAAGTGAGACACTTGCGGTATTCTCGGGTTTCCAGACTAGAAGGCTAGTAGTTGCCAGTTACGTATTAATCAGAGATTTATGGTAGAATTCGATAGAATTCTCCTCAATTGTAAAGTGTTTGCCAAATTGTTGATTATCTGACCGATGAAGTGCACCGTTTTGTTCATTTATGACACCATTTTTCAGCTGTCTGCTTCCAGTACGAGGGGGATTGGTCATTGATGTTGAATAACAAAAATAGGAGATTGAGACCACATCGATATTGGTTGTGTGTTCCAGTATAGCTAGCTTTGCCAATATGGCTTATGCTTTCTCATTTCCATGCCCTGTAAAGTTGTACCTGGTTTCGTCTTGTCAACACTTCGGTCTCTCCATGTGACATGTCTAAATGACAACATAATCTCGCGTGATGATCCGATTATCCGGATTAACTGCTTTCTTATTTGCAGATGTACCGCTCCCGACCGGTTGAGTCTAATCCACTTGGTTCACGAACTTCGGTCTCTTATGATAACGGCACTGCGTATTACCCGTGCTTATCGGAGACGACTCGTTGTTGCCCTGAAACTGAACACCGTAGCTCAAATTCCTCCAGTAGTCCCCTTGTTATCAACTCGGTCCGTTCTTTCTTGGCCTCCCACCGAAACACAGTCGGATGACTCAGATGGCGAATCTGGAGTGTATGCTTCATCTCACCACAGGGTTCCAGCATCCAAGCCGGTTTGGTTTCTTGAAGCAACCGAACAAGTGCGTCAATTCCTCGATGACGCGACCTCGCCAAACAGTTTGGTCAAACTCATTGAAGCCTACTCTGACTGCCTCGTCAGACTGTTGGATATTGAATGCAGTACCTTGAAAGGTGTAAGTCTGTCTCGCGTTTCTGTGTATTTGTTCCTCTGTTCACACGTCTTCTGTGCGCACATGCATGGATACTGCTGCGCCTTTTGGTTTGAATTTGATCAACTACCGAACATTATGAGTGGAACGTTATGGGTTTTCTATCTTGACGAGCGTGGTTTGCAAGTTATGTAATACCAAGCAAATTTCAGTACACTGCCTGCTGTTGAACGTGAATTATCCCCAATTGTTAACTGTATTATTCGATGGCTAATTACCACGCATACCTGTCTTGATGGCTCAGGTGGTTAGAGCGCGAATTTACTGACCGGAATCTCCGTGGTTCGAACCCGACCTCCCACTCTCGAATTCCCCTGTCTAGGCTTGGGCAATCTGGCAGTATCCCAGCCCTCGTGCTTCCTTCGGGTAGCATGACAGCTAGGCACCGGAAGAGTGTTACAGCGGAACGATTTAATTTTACTTAAATCCGAATGTGATTGACAAGAGTCATTCTGTCTTGATAAGAATCGCCTGATTTATCAGGAAAGCATTCACAATCCGGTTTTGCGCTGATTGGCTGTTGATCACCTGACAGTTGATCTGATAGTCAAGCCTGGAAATTGGCTTCGAAACGTTTCGTCACCATGCGAAAGAACATCTCCAGTGCGTGTTCGAGTAAGTGGTTCCTCCACTTCCGATCGTGATAATATGGCTTCTAAAGGATTATTAACATCCGCCACGGGATTGTTTTTTGAGGGTTGTTTGGCCCTAATGTGATTGGTCACCTGGGGATTCGTCTTGCGTTGTGGTCTGACTATCTTACATCTGATTGGTTCTTTGGGTAGCTCCATTAACATTGCTTTCTGTTGTTGCTAATGCTTGAGCCATACTCAATCTCATTGACCACAAAGGATAATGAAATGTGCAAAAATGCAATACATCTTTTGTCTTTCGAATTTGTTTTTTTTACTTCAAAAAATCAATTCTTTTATTATCTCCAGACATGGACTGGCACATTTTGTGGGGATGCACAGTGAGCTAGGTTGTGAACTACAATCTATCTAGCAGACCAAAACACAAAAAAGCAGAGCTTGTAGCACCCGACTCAAACTAATGGAGTGTTTGTAGCCACCGATAATTCTACGCACACTAATCACTTCAGAAAAAAGCGGAATGTGCCGTATTAGACCTTGAAATTTAAAGAATCTTTAACCAGAAGAGCAGTTTGTTCAAGTTTGCTGAGAGTGCGCGCATTAGATCTCCAGAACGGAGTAAGGTCAAACGGACTGATTTAGGTCAGGATGAGTTAGGAGTTGCAATAATTCTGCGACAGGTTGGAGCGTGTTTAGGTGAGTGATCAAACCAACCCAGTCTTGTGTGACTAGCTTCACTGTGTATAACGGCTTTACTAGCTTGACTCGTCCCGATTGTTTCTGCTCTTGCAAATCAGATCTGAAATGTGTTTATACTGTGGTATAGCGAAGGCACACACACGTTGAATCGGTTTTGCGGCAGGTTTCGTGTGCAGTACTTACAGAGAACAGCCGCTCTTAAAAACCGAACGTCACATCTTTTGGACGGATTTATCACTTGCGGGCTACGATCTAACCGAAGGTATGTCCTAAGCGGTCAGAACTGCGGCCAACCAAGGTCGAGAATTATGGCTCGCTCCTTCACTTGGTTTTCGGCGCGACCCTGTGGTACAGTTCTAATGATGTTCCATTATCCCCATAAAGGACTGTCTGAAGCTCCCGTGCCCTTCACATACCGTAGTGAATGGAGCAGGAAACCAAGGACCGACATAAAATGTGTCCCGCCGTTTGCAGTACGCAACACACTGTCAATGGTCTCTTCCTGGCCTCTTCTTCATTGCACCTGACAAATCTGTAGAGGTGAAAAAAGCGAGAAAGCACGTTGTCTTATGGCGTTGTTTGAGAGGATCATTGAGGCTCATAGACATGCGTCTCGTTTGTGCCGAATACTTTCATCTGACTACCTTTCTGCCGAATGACATTTCGCTTTGCTTACTCTTTCGTGTCTGTTTGAATCGTCGAATGTGTTTTGAGGTGAGCACAGGATACTCCAATGTTGTGAATTGTCATAGTATCAGTTGTACCGTCAATGGGGATCCCCTAATTCTGGAGTCCTCTAACCTCCACCAGATTCTTGACTGAACTAGTCCAAGGAAGTCAAGCACTTTTCTTTAACTTTATTGTCGACAGTTTTTCCTGATCTAGAGGATGCTTTTGACTCTGTCAGAAACTCTTGCGGTGTCTGGCGATCCAAATTTATATTTTGAACTTTATATCTCTTGGGAGAGCGCCATATACGAATTTTTGTGGACGAGTACGGGTGAATGGCAAGGTTTCTCCCGCATTCATCACGTCCAATGGTGTAAACCAAAGCTCCCCTTTCCCTTTCAACTGTGTTACTGAGGTTTCTCTGCCTGCCTCCGAATCTTTAGGGATCGAAATGCTTCCAGGGGCGTTTGTTCACAGACATTGTGTGTGCGGACGATATTGCTCTCTTCAAAAATGCAAGGCATTTTAAATAACTTAGATAAGTCTGCCGCACGGTACAAGAGTGGGTGGGATCGACCCCAAATCTGATGCTTGCGGACGAGCCAATCGACGTGGTAGGTAAATTTGTTTACCTGGGCAATTGTATTAGTTCCCGTGGACTGGCTGGAGATGAGGTTACTTCTCGAATCAGGAAAGGAATGGCAGCTGTTGCCACCCTCGGATACCTATCGCGCTGACGTGGCATCAGTTTGTCTGTCAAGAACGCAGCAAACACTGCGGCAGTGTGGTTCATCCTGGATAAGAAACTTAACCTACACACTCAGAGGGCACACGAAAGCTCTCAGTATATGACCGAAGCATTGACCGTGTCTGGTGGGAACGTCGGATTAGTAATGTTGAGGTTTTAGGATAAAGGAGCTCTTACACTTGGGCGGGTTACTCACTCTGGTTAGGACATGTACCCCGCATGCCAGGCGGCCGTCTGCCTCACAGAGTTCTTTCCGCCGAGCCCTGTGGCGAGTGGAATTGGGCAATGTACGACCTGGCAACGATGTTTGAAAACGCTAACTAATAAACTCTCTGGGTTTCCGGGACGCCACTCATTATTGGCTAACTAAACTGGCAGACAGGTATCACTCACGCAGTCAGTCAACACCATCGCATTCAATGGATAGCTTTCCGTTCCCTCACACCGACACATCGTGTGAGCTAGCTGACAATTCCATCACCTCCAGTGCTTGGTGGATGGGACCAAGTTCGTGGTTCTAGAGAGAGTGAACACAGTCACTCAACAAGTGGCACCTTGAAACTTTCAGGCTATCAATTTTGAGTTGTTCCCCCAGATGTCCTTTCAAAAAGACGAGCATTCTCACTCAGTTGCACGATGGTTTTATCCGTTCGTCGAACTTGATGAAATTGAAACAGGTAAGAACCGTGGTGACCAAATCCCTTCGTTCAAGCATTCTATCCTAAATATAGTACCAAAGACAAGGTAAGAATTGGTCATGAATCATGCTGTCAATTAATTTTTGGATTCATTACATCACGTGTAATCTGCTGTGTGAGTAACTGGAAGAAACTCTCGCTGAATATCGTTCTGAAACTCGCTCAGTAATCACAGCTTCGGTCTTTCAACACAAAAGGATGTATATTTAAAGAATCCTTACTGATTCGTTTTGTTTCGACAATCATTTATCCTATTTTACACATTAATTTGCAGAGTCCGAGTGACCTAAGAAGTCTTGTTGAAAGAGAATGGGATCATATTCGACGGGTCTATCGACAACTTCACCGCTGTCGTGGTGGCATACACTATGCGTCTTTGTCGGGCCCGGGGATCATTGATCAGCATCGTCAGACGGTCGAACTTACGTTTGTTCGCCTGTGTAAAAACGTCATTGGCTTTTTATCTGAACGTTTTGCACCACAACTCGGCGTGTGGGCCCGATGCGCAGCGACTGATCCTTTCAAGTGAGTCTTTCGTAAACATAGACGTCTCACCATCACAAGGGGGCGAGATGGCCCAAGTGGTTAGAGCGAGAATTTACTGACCGGAAGGTCCGTGGTTCGAACCCGACCTCTGCCACTCGACTTCCCCTATGTAGGCTTGGGCGACCTGGCAATATCCCAGCCCTCGTGCCTCCTCCGAGTGGCATGGCAGCTAGGCACCGGAAGGGTGTTACAGCTGAACAAATTCCTTTTCCAATATCATAAGGGACTGAGCGAGAACCCCAGTCGTTCGGCCATCCCTCTTGGTCTGTCCTATGTTCAAATGGGCTCGTTTTCTGCCATGATCTGATACCTGCGGGGGGAGAATCCATCTTGTCAGTGAAGCCAATCTATGCTGAAAAGTCAAGAATCACTGTACGACTGTTTCATCCTTATTGAGAATCACCAGCAGGACGCATCTCACGAAACTCATATTTTCGAAACGACAATCTTACGCTTCGTTTTCAAGCGGAACACTAGACGTCATGCTGTTTCTCACATTCTGACATTTGTCTTCTAATTAGCCCATGGATGGAATTACTGTATGTGTGTCAAGTGCACTAATGTTCTTAAAAACACTCCATATTAGTAGGTTTCTAGTCCCTTCATCTAGTATGTGAGTTCAACGCGTTGAGCATTCCAGGATTACCAAGTGTAAACCTCTAGGCATGCTGGCACGTGAAGAGTGACTATGCGGTATGTTTCTCAGTTGTTCCGGCCTCCTACGACCAACAATATTGAGAACAATCACAACGCTCCTCTTTTGGCGTTCATAAACCGGAAAACTGAAGATGAGATGTGAACGTTGTTCTAAAGAATGCGAAGGATATATCAGCCTCTTGCTCAGCCATTGCTTAGTGTCGTTGGGGCTTTTTCTTGACAGTAACAAATTATCCGCAACTCATTGGAAGGTGCGGTTTTCACAGGTTTGGTACTCGTCATAATCCTCCCGAGTTCTTTAGTCCGATATGAGAGAGATTACGAAACAATTGGGTACTACCGATGCGACTCAATTTCCAGGATGAGATCCCCGTGACCCCCACTGTGCTCGATTGGAGATGCTTCAAGACCTAGCTTCGAACCGATGTGCTCCCGTTGCCAGTTTCTGTCCAGATTGTCTGATTGTGTGTCTGGCTGTGGTAGGCTAGCGCTAATTCTTTCCCCTGTTTACTTTCATTCTTTTCTTCACGGCGAAGTATCATTGTTGAACATTGATGTATGCTGCCGATGATGATGATGATGATGATGATGATGATGATGATGATGATGACGGTTTGATTTATTTTCGTGGTTTGGTCGACTAACGCCACTCAGATGGTGCGTCAGTGCGATAGTTCTTGGTCGTCCCCTTATACCGTTTTGTTCTAAGCATCCCTTTGAATCGCACATCACTCGTATGAACTGACAACGACTAGGTTTCAATGTTTTACTTCAGATATGCTGGATGCCCAAAGGATATACCGATTTGGGAAGAGGCCTCACAAAGCAGTGGTCCGCCGGCCACCAACCTCGACTCTAGTGCCAGCTTCCACACCGAGGCTACTAGATCGCTTTCAACAAAATCCTCTCCATGGATTTGCACTGGTGGGGTTCGAAACGAGCTGTTTCAAGAATTCAATGAATCATGGCGAGAAATTCGAGCTTGGCTGAATTGTGTAAGTCTTCGTCGTTTGTACTTTGCTGTACTAAGTACCCGGCGCACCCTAGCTTATCGATTTTGGTCATATGCTTTCTGGTGCTTAATGTTCACCCACAAACCGGTTTTTATGACTGAATATCACCAGTGATATGTGGATACAGTTAAGGACTTGGGGCGCGTTAGTCAAAATTCCTCACCGATAGTGCTTCACTGCTCGCAATTAGGCATTACTGCGGCCAAGAAGCCTATCCTGTACGCGATCGCCCAAAAAATCGGGCCACTTGGCGGTCCAGCATCAAGGTGAGCTCTGATTGCCCAAACGTCTAGACCCAACAACCAATGACGATCCTTTATCCGCCGAATGCCGGTTGCCCACGGCGCATCCAGAAGGCGTCGGAATTTCCAGAGTGTTTTTCTCCACACACAAATTATACATGAACTGGTTTTGGGCGCTGATACACTTTGGGCATCCCTGGTGCTTGTTTTGACGGGAACAATAGCTTGAAAGCTTCGAACCGAGAACTAAGCTGGGAAAATATCGTTATTACATGATGTTTTAATTTGGGGATAGGAATTTCGACTCTGCGTCAGCTCACTGGTGGCTGCCCAATCAATGAATTTAGCATGGCTCGTTGGTTGCAAACGACCAAGTTGTCTATCGAATCTGTGAACACCAGTGGTGTCGACGAACTTGCTATGCTATTGGCACCAGTGTTTTCTTGTAATATGTTTATCACACTAACAAACGACAAAGATATGGGGCAGATTGGGCTCGCCTATGGGTGCTAGAGGCTGACCATTTTGGCTGTCGCATCACGAATTTATATGGGGCTTACCAAATTTACTGAGTACGATTGGGTACATCCGTGGGGAATTTGAAACCTTGAAATATACTGCGCCAAAACTTCGGCCTCCGACAGGCTTCTTCCCCCAGTCTATGCGCCGATGGCAAAGCGAACCTCCCAACACAACAGATCTTATAGGACTCCTTGTGTAATGAGCGTTACAGTCAGACGGGAGGCTTCCTCGTGAGTTTCGAACCCGCGGAACACTTGCTGGGAATACCTGACTGTGAAATCTGATTTGTTTTCCACTTGTTATCCAGCTACATCCGACCCACAGTAATTCTCGCTTTGCCATCCAATACGGATTCGATCCCAACCTGTTCTTTTTCTGGATGTCTCATTCGATCAGACCCATTAGTCGTTCTTCATCGGGGCGTTCTTTTTGACGCCTACGATATTCAAAAGGGTAAAGATGTGCGTGCTTCTTTTCAGTTGAACCATTTCAAGAGCCCCGATCATCAGTGCCTGCCACATGTGAACGAGAACAGTGACTTGCCACGTTCGTGATCTTCGTCACGTCGATTGAAGCTCAGGGATAGTTATCAATTATATCGGTGAAACACTTCGCACTTTGTCCGAAGGCATCCTGATCCATCCGTACCCAGAATTTCTCAGAAATCGATCGGGCAGGTATTTCGAGCAGGCAATATGTTAACCATTTGAATGTTCCGAACTGGTTTTCAAGGACTAAAAATTCAGAAGCAACCGGCGGTTCCAATGGCGTGCAGATTTACTCATCACACCGCGTACACCGTCACCAAAAGCTAGGACAGACTACAAGACTGGACACCGGTTTATTTATGTTGGTCAGGAGCAACTCAGGGCTCCATCTCCACTCGCCACCATATACCCTTTGTTTAATTTTTTCCATAACCTCACTACTTTTGGTGTAATGGTGATACTACTGGCGGGGGTATGCGAGTAGGGTTTTCTCGTAAATCCGCTTTGCGTCTCTTGAAAGGTGGGATCTATTGCGGAATTTGTGGAGTCGCTCTGTAGCATTTGGTTGCAATGGAGTAACAGGCAATAAATATCCAGGAAAGTTCAGGAAGACGCGTTCAAGGAGAGGATGGATATTCAGTTTTGTAAACAAGATGCATGTGTGAGTTTTGCTCCCCTGTCCAATAGTCTGTAACTGTTCAGTTGGCATTTTCTAATAGGTAACTCCACAGTGAGGGCCTTTTTCCTTTCACTGGTAGTCCTCAAAATGCTCTACTGTTTCCCACTAGCTGAGTTGTGTCCTACGAATATCCTGGTTTTTTTACCAGACCAAACCGGCTAAGTGCTATCCTAATGGGTTTCTTCTCCAGCTGGTTGTACACTTCAGCGTACTGATTACGCGCACATCTCAGCGTTCAGCGGACAGTGCCATGCGTCAACCGTTCGACATGTTTCACGTAACTGTTAGCTAGTCCTCACTTCCTGGTACACTTCTGGATTGGAGACAATCCATTCAAGTTGTTTGGCCATTAGACGATGTGATAAACTAACATTCTTTTCTCGTTTATTGTCAGTTACTAGACCTCACAGCTGTCGTTTGCAACGACCTTGACACAGCTGTACTGATGAACCTGACAATACCGGCTTCGCGACCAAAGACTGTTGGAAGAAATGTTCCAGCTGATGCCGGGCAAGCAAGAACAACAACGGTTCCAGATGTAGCAATCAAATGCCGTTCTTCCTCTTCGAAATCTATGGGCAAAATGATTCGTGAACTCCGACAAATGGGGCATGTCCTTCTCTATTCGTGGGATAAGTCCGGATCGTGCCAACCATCATCATCGGGTTGGAACTTCGGATGTGAGTTGTTCTTTGTGTTGTTCTTGAATATTTGAAACTAATCATAGGGCGCCAATTGCAGTTGATCCTTGTGACACAATATGAAGAAGGTCAGATTTCTGAAAGTAACCCCAGAATGCCCGGAACCTACTAAGACCCTAAAACTCCACCAAAATCTCATTAGGGGAAGCTGGCAAGCATCCAGATCAGTTAAACAAAAGGCGATGAGTTTTCAGGCACGCCGCAGAAGCACGCGCGTTCAGACATGCCATAGAACCTCGGTCGATGTTGATGGGTGTTCACTAAACTCCGTGCAGACAGTCTGGATCAGTGTCAAAAAGCGCCCTTTAGATAGCGCGGGGTCGTTCTAACTTTCGCACTCACACGCAGTCGCTTGTTGCAATAAATCTGTTGTGTTCTTTGTCGGTGAGTTCTCTTTTTGGCACCAGGCACTGAAGAGGGAACAGCAATCAGATTGGCGACTCAGTCAGGTATCACACACAGCCACCAAAATGAGGCAACCACCATTTTTATTTCTGAGATCCAACTCAGAACCGAGTGGGACGTGCACAAACTGGTGGTAGCAGCCAATACATGGTTGCGACGAACTGGATAGGTGGTTTGATCGCCGCAAAATGCGATTCATTGATTTGGCGCACCAGTGCACTGTCTTATAAATCTAAGCTTTAAAATGTTATAAAAAGGACTTGCTGCGGCTCTCAGGTACATCTATTGATGATAAATAGTGTCCATTTTGGAAGCGAGATATCAATGGGACTGACAAAGCGGTGAGGTTCGGAATACACCATCGTGTTTACATTTATTCGAGCCGCTTATCGACTCACTCCTCTTTTCACTGGACTACCGTGGATTTTTTACTTCATGTCGAGCTTGTTTCCTCACTCCACTTCATGGGAGTTTATCAGAACATATTTGCGGGCGTTAGTCTCACCAGTGAGCCTTCCGCATGGGTCGGAGCGAGTTGGTATTGTCGTATTCCCGTTGTTTCATTGCCCCTCATAACACCAATTCTGGGACTACACTTACCCTTCATATTGAGTAATTAATGCACCATAATTCTTTACTGATGATAATATAATTAATAATTAATTGAACTACTTATAATTCTTTCAGTAACATCACATCTTTTGTTGTAGGCGTCTTCATCTGGAGTCCATTTCTTCGTCATGCTTCGGCGTCTTCTACACCACATGTTTCCGAAACCCATACTTGTTCGAGGTAGGCTTTCCATTTTCTTGGAATTTATTACCCGGGATGCTTTTCAGTTGTATATAAGGAAACCAAACCTTGTGGTGTGATGTTTTAGGTATCTCAGTGACACACTAGCCTGTATTTGGGGGTTGGCTATAAAGCCATAGAGTTTTTCAGGTTATTGGACCAAGATATGACAAACTCAGGCTTCAGGTTGGGTGTTGGAAGGTGAACAGCGACTTAAAAACGGATATTTCTATGATAATTTATCGCTCGATTCCAGGCTTCTGAGCCAAGGGCGCGGGTTGATGGTTTCAACCGTCTTGGTATGATGAATGTCCAAGACAGAAAACCAAGACGTCAGTTCTATAGTTGAGCCGACTACTCTGTCTCATCCTGTATCCGTTCGCGCACCTCTGGTGACATGGAACACGCTTCGGCTGGTTATGTTGGATTGGATCTTATGTTGAGCCATCGAGAGCGAACGTCCGTATTTGAGTAGTTACGTCCCGGTAGCCGTGTCTTCGAAGTTCGTTTGGAAGGAATCATGAGAAAGAGGTCTGTCGCATTTCAAGCGTCCGTCGCACTACCTGACTAGGAAGTCCTTAAAGGCGAGCCAGTTGATCAACTCAACCAGGACGTCATTTGAGGCGTCCGGTAAACTTATCACATCGCGCAAGGTTGAACGCGCTCGCCTATTCAGATGTGATCATTCAGCTGCATCCAGCGTGTTATGTTGGAGTATTGGTAACACAATCACCTCGCATATCAGATGTACGGATTTTACACACTGACAAGATCACAGGTGTGCACTGCTGATAATCTCTAATAGAGGAGGGAAACTCGAGTCCAGTGCTTCCCTACTCTGGTGTGGACTCAATAGAATAATTGGGCCCCGACGGGAGGGCGGCTTTTCGAACGAGAGTGATTTTGTTCATAGTAAACCCGATTATAGTCTGAAGGACTTTAGCTATGTGCCCTGCAAATACAAGTTCTATGGAGCTCTGGATATTCTTCCACAAGGAGCTAAGGCTGAAGGTGCGAACGTACTTACTGAAAGGTCCCTTGTTCGCTCCCAACCTCTGCATCTGGACTGTCCGTCTCTAGGCTTTGGCAGCGTGGCCATTCCCCGAGCCCTCATGTCCCTTTCAGGCGACATGGCAGTTAAGCACCGACAGGCCGTTACAGCCGAGTAATTTTTTTCGAGTACTACCAAGGCTCAGTTGGGAGATCGACTTCAATTGGTTTCAAGATGCGCGGGCAACGGAGGGTACCCAGTTGAGACGCATGCTTCCAACTTGTCCTTTCTTGAATACCGGTATGGACCGCGATCAGGCACTTGTCCGTTACCGCTTTTTATTGCACTTTTAAACCTATGCCAACAGACAGACCACCGAAAAACACCTCTTCATCACTAGAGTCGCCTTCCCCAACGCCTGCCTAATGATCAGGTTTCTGTTGTGGTATATCACTAGCGGGACGTCCGAAGCAACACGCGAGGCATGGAACTAGTATTTCTAACAGAACCCAGATAGCTTCTTCCGAACACTAGAGCTCTGCTGAGACTGTCTTTGTGAGAGACCTAGAAACAGATTCCATCCGATCACAATCTCAGTTCAATTGGATACCTTATCCGAAGCTAGAGTATCTGCCTGGACTAAGAAGGTCGGTACATCCAGAAGGCTCAGGAGCTAGAAGAGCCGAGAAATTTTTGAAAATGTTTTCAGACTGTCTCTTTTGATTCGTTCGACAGACTCTCTGAAACCTCTTGTTATCGTCTAGAATCATCACATACTACAACTACTGTCTGTTATCCCATGAGGAAAAACGTTTGGACCGTTGGACAGAAGACTTCTAGCGGGAGCGGATTCGACCACTTTCTCCTTACAACTCTATGGATGCCACCTTGTCTTGGTTGGCCAGACTGAGTGTTGCAATGATCTCGCGGACTACACTAACTGGAACTTCGTTCCACAGGGTGCAACTATACCAGAAAGGGCAGCAGCCAGACCAAGTGCGGCGAAACTTTGCCCTACGGGTAATCGCATTACGAGGCTGTTGTAAAGTCATACCGTCCTTGGTAGTGGAAGTATAGAGCCAGTAAGATGTTTCTTCCAGGTGACCAGCTTGGATGCAGTGATGCTGCCTTCCTCCGAGGAATAACAGGTCAGGTCGGTTCCATATCCCGCACACCCTGATCGTCCATCGGTTGACTGTAACAACCGACAAATTATCCAATGCGGTTGAAAAATGCATGTCTGATGCTCCGAACTAATCTGTGCGCGACGATTTCAGAAGTGAGGCCTGTATGCCTTATTCCCAGCGCCCTTGGGCTAGGTCACCTTCATGCAGCCGAAACATCGGCTCTGAGTAGGATCTGCAGCGTTGTGTGTTCGACTTTTAAGTTAGAAGCTAGGGACAGAGTCTCCGAGCAAAATCCCTATCCACTGCTGCCTTGTGAGTCAGACTGATGAGTCAAGGGCTCAAAGTGGCCAAGAAAGCTGGCCGCTGCGTGGTGAGAAAATATCCAGTAGTTGACCATAGATGTTTTCGGAGTCTGATTGGAACGCCGGGTCAGTAATGCTGGATTAAGTTCAGTGGTTTTCGGAAGGAATAACTCGATGATCTGATCACACCCCACAGGTTGTGCTAACTTGGTTAGGTGCTCCGTGTGCCGGCTAGACGATATCCTCGGACAGTCTTTTCCGCGCACCCACACGGCGGATAGAGAGGAACCAGGGGGTTGGAGCAATGACTTGGTATGAGTTATGAAAGCCACTACCAGCGATATTGATTGTTGTATTTCTGGATGGGGCCTCCTAGTTCGGACATATCAGTGATCAGACATGGCCCATTTGCGCTCTCGATGGCACCCATGTATCTAGGCACTTACCTTCATTTCATAACTTCTCCTCCCGACTCGCCCATTGAAAGGTCCACTGTCACTCCTGGATTCACGAGTCAATTAGATCAGCTACTGCCTCCGATGCGTAGCTATCCACTCCTATTTCCACAGATCAACGAACAAAACCGTGGCAGCTAGAACCACTGCACATCATGCAATTGGTCTTGTAGATTATGCTGACAAATTTCCACCCAGATTGTCAGTCCCTGACGGAAGCATGATTATCTAACCCTCTACGTCCTCAGAAGTGTCCCTACAAAGTATCTTCGTGTTCCTGATGGCCTTCCACCTAATCTGTTCAAACACAACGGCGAATTCCTCATCCAATGCGCGTCCATCCTCGGGACCGCTTGGTTTGAATCGATATCGGTAACCATGTTCGCATTAAATGTAGTAAACACAGAGAGGTATTTTGACTCCCGTTGTAACAAAACCTCTGGCGTCACCGATTCTTCATAGTCAAGGTGACACAAGAAACACTGACCCAGGATCACCATCAAGCGGGATCCCGGGGCTGCGTCACACACATCTTCACATTTCGTCAGGCATTAGAGAAACATACTCTTGATGCCGCTCGATTTCAGGAGCACCTTCTTGTTCTTACAAAGCGCAAGCACCTTTCGACTCTGAACCAGTCAAGTTTCTCTGATAACCACTTTTCGCTCAGCAGTGTTCCGAGTCGGAGCTTGCAGTCGCGTTAGTAACTACCGTCTCTCCCATTGGGAACCTCCAGACAAGACTTTAGTGATCTTGCAGCTTCATTTGGGAACTATTCTCATGATCCATACGCATGTGACAGGTGGCGTCAGATCACACGTCCTCCAAGACGTTTATCTACTCATAGTTCCAACATACCATCAAACAATAGCATCATACAACCCACACGTGGTCCGAACTTTCAGTTCGTAATCAAGCTCCATTTTACAAATATTCCGTCTTGCTGACGGCGGTACAACTTCAATGTTGGTTCATGTCTTCCCGCTCCACCCACCATGATGTACCGGAAGCCACGTTAGCTCGAGACCGCCCTTTATGGAGACAAAGGAAGATTATAAGGCAGTCACAAGGTCAAGCTAGAATCTTCGTGGGGGACGAGGACCATCGAGCTATCGGTGCTCCATCTAAATTGGCTGACATTCTGACCAATCAAAGCATACCTTCATTTAGTCCGTGGTTCGCACGAGACCCATCTGTCCAATCAACATGATGTTCCGAACACCAAACCAACAAACGTTCGGATGCTTCTCACATGCTAGCCACCGGTTAATTTTTTGTCCTCGCCTTCAGGGATAACAGTCTCGTCATCGCGTCGTCCGAAACTCGGCGTGCTGTTCGTAAGCACATATCTATGTTCGTGCATCGCATGGCCAAACAACTCATCTTCAAGCCGCGTAAACCGCCCCCTGCTTGTTTTTTTCCAATGCCGGATTTGTCTGGTTCGGATGTGAGATACGTCCGGCCTGGTAAGCTTCGTGGACTCATCAAACGGATTCCCGCGAAAAACGGTTTCGGAGGATCGGTGGAGTATTTGCTCGTCTGTCCAGGACTACCGGTAAAATGTAAGCATCTCATTGAATTTTCCAACGATCACGGGATTGTTTTTCTTGCATTTTTGTGTTGCACAGAGTGTGTACGCCTGGAGGTTGGCGCACAGATTCGTATGTAATACGGTAGCCTCCAAGAAAAGAGATCACCTCTTGGAGAGCCCATGACAAACGTTTCCTGTTATCCGCGAGCCGTTTCTCGAAGAGAATCTGCCTTTGTAAGATGCCAGATATCTGTGGTCACTTGTCTTCGTTGGGATTAGATTATTCTGTATTAACTCTTGGGATCGCTAAGGACGTATAGTGATTGTGGCAGAGAAATTCGATGCGTTTAATCAGACTTTCGAGTGCAAACTGTAAATAGACTCGATATGTTTGTCTCAAATGTATGTTAAGCGGGGTTTTTAGTGTTCTACATTTGGGGATAATGCCCCCCCCTGCCTCCGTTTTTGATGTGGCGTGTAACAAGTAGACACCTAGCTTGGAAACAGAAGTCATCATCGCTGCAAACTCCATGCACTAAGGTATAAACAGATGCACCTCCTTTCGGTTCAGGGAATAGTTGTACTGAGCTCCTATTCAACATCACCGTCGTTAACTTGTCTACTTCCGCCACAAGTGGTTCTGAACAGTGAAAATTGTGTGTGTGTGTGTGTGTGTGTGTGTGAAGTTTACTGGAGCCGACGATCTCATCTTCTGACTCCAAAACTTTTCCACGAAGGATACGTCTCCATAGGAGATTCGTTTCTGTATGTGAATGCAATCTATGCTAAAAGGCTGATAATCCTCTCGGCTTGGTGAACACTGCATTGTCTCGCTGTTTTACTCAGTACATTTCATCTTAGCCGATGCACGAGCGTATTGTCCAAGTGGGAGGAAAGAATGAAGCTTGCCATGTGGGTTCCAGTGAAGAGAGGTGCTTGTTTCCAATATGACTCGAAGACGTCCTTGTGAAGTCCACTCTAATTCGTTCTTTCCCATCTAATCTCTATTTTTCATCAGTATGGAACGGCCTTGCATATAACTTTATGGATGTGCGTGGTGTGCCTGCCTACCAGTCCCGATCGAACCATGTGCGTCGTTCCTGGTACGCTTTGCAATGGTTGGTTGCTCTTTGCTGTGACTCCGCCTTGAGCTCGACCCCTTTAATACACCAAGACCACCACGTGTCTGGTCTACCTATCTCGCTCACCACTTGGCTGCTGAGTGACTATCCACATGCGGCATGGTCCCTGCTTCGTGACTCTTCCGACCGACTTCGTCGCTGGCTCGCTTTCTCATGTCTCAATCCCTCTGTTCTCGGAGGTTTCAAGGTGGGTGACGAACACCTGTCAGTCGATGAGAACTCACCTGGAACTCGTGCTTGTTCATTTCAAATGGCACCAATCATGGCAGACTTGTACAACTCGGTTCATTCATTACGCCGAAACTTGTGTGATTTATCAGCGAGGCTTCAGGTAGGGTGGTGTTTTTTTTTGTCCTAGTGCTACCCCCCTATAGCAAAGATATCTAGTTTTTCCATTGAGATGTTCGCATTTTCTGGGGTTAGCTTTGTGAGTGGCTTATCTGTTGTGAGTACGGTGGACGGTCCTGCAGTCGTGTCATGGATGGAGCCATTACGATGTATCCTCTATCCTAAGTGACCAAAACTCACACGTCATCTAACATTCGCTCCGTATCGCTTTGTCAAACACCGCAAATTCGTATGTTTCTGTTATTCAGTAGATACTCAGCAGGTGACATCGGTGTGTTGTTGTCGTAACGGTATTTCTCTCAGCTTAGTTCTCGGTCTGAGCCTCCCAAGCTAGCGTTCACGTCAAAAACAACCACCAAAGGTGCACAAGATATATTAACGCCCCGAACGAAGTCAAGAACATCTGTACAGGAACAGTTGTACAGCGCTCTGTATATATAGCGTAGGCGGTTATAACTTTCTGGAATTTCTGACGCGTTCTGAATGCGTCACTGGCAACCGGCCAATACTGGGTCATGATTGGCTGTTGGGTCCAGAATTTCGACCAATCGGATCTCGTCTTGATCCGGACCGGCAAGCGTCTCGAATTCTGGGCCAATCTTGCGTGGGATGGACTTCTCGGTCGTAGCAGCACCTGAGTGCGTGTGGTAAGGAGGGATCCGTGCCTAACAGTTGTTCCGTCACATTCATATATAATTGATCACTTTCCATCCATGCGTTCGTCCGGCGAACACACTCGCAGAAGCTGTGCGGCTCATCCAACTGAGGTTTTCAAAACAGGAAGAAGCTCAGCTATATTTTCGTCTCTCACAGTAATTTGTATAGAACTGCGCCCTTCATCTGAGTGATCGACATTTCAGGAGCTTGCGACAAGGAAAATCCGCATAGGCTGATTTAGCCCTAACGAACGTAAAATATGTTATCATGTCGCCAACATTTCACCCCATCCTTCCATCTGTGCGGTAGTCTCACCGGTAATATTTTATTTTTTCAGGGTTCATTGTTGGTGATGGAGTCACATCTAAGGTCATACTTGGACAGTACTGAATCTGCACCGCGCGCATTCAACGAAGCTTCGGCGCTCGCTTCCCCGATTCATTGCGGTGAGAGACCGTCCCCAACCCGTTCCGGGTCTGTTTCAGATGGTCGAGATGCTGTGACACTTTATGCGCTCGGTGTAGACCCAGTTCAACGTGCGTTCTCGGTTGTCTTTGGTTTTCACAAAACCCTCATCCGATTACTGAGCATTGCTCCCGTTCGAGCTCCATTTTATTCCGGTAAGGTTCTGCCTGTTCTATTTTATCTTTATTTATCTAATCAACATTCCAGATTATTATTCGGTGTCTCTCTCATTTCTTCCAGAGGAGAGAGACCCCTCTGGTGAACGCGTTTCCCTTCACACTCGGCTAGTTCATCTCGGAGTTCGATTGCTGCGCAGCTGGGCGGATTATGTGACCTCTCGTTATCCACGTGGACGTGGCCGAATTCCTCGTTGGGCAAATGATGCGTGTCATTTTGCCTACCGGTTTGTGGTAAGGAGGGATCCGTGCCTAACAGTTGTTCCGTCACATTCATATATAATTGATCACTTTCCATCCATGCGTTCGTCCGGCGAACACACTCGCAGAAGCTGTGCGGCTCATCCAACTGAGGTTTTCAAAACAGGAAGAAGCTCAGCTATATTTTCGTCTCTCACAGTAATTTGTATAGAACTGCGCCCTTCATCTGAGTGATCGACATTTCAGGAGCTTGCGACAAGGAAAATCCGCATAGGCTGATTTAGCCCTAACGAACGTAAAATATGTTATCATGTCGCCAACATTTCACCCCATCCTTCCATCTGTGCGGTAGTCTCACCGGTAATATTTTATTTTTTCAGGGTTCATTGTTGGTGATGGAGTCACATCTAAGGTCATACTTGGACAGTACTGAATCTGCACCGCGCGCATTCAACGAAGCTTCGGCGCTCGCTTCCCCGATTCATTGCGGTGAGAGACCGTCCCCAACCCGTTCCGGGTCTGTTTCAGATGGTCGAGATGCTGTGACACTTTATGCGCTCGGTGTAGACCCAGTTCAACGTGCGTTCTCGGTTGTCTTTGGTTTTCACAAAACCCTCATCCGATTACTGAGCATTGCTCCCGTTCGAGCTCCATTTTATTCCGGTAAGGTTCTGCCTGTTCTATTTTATCTTTATTTATCTAATCAACATTCCAGATTATTATTCGGTGTCTCTCTCATTTCTTCCAGAGGAGAGAGACCCCTCTGGTGAACGCGTTTCCCTTCACACTCGGCTAGTTCATCTCGGAGTTCGATTGCTGCGCAGCTGGGCGGATTATGTGACCTCTCGTTATCCACGTGGACGTGGCCGAATTCCTCGTTGGGCAAATGATGCGTGTCATTTTGCCTACCGGTTGTGTCAACCGCGCTCGGTAAAATTTCTAGACGCGCGCAAAGTTTCGGTAAGTCTTGCCTTGCTGCTCTCTTCGCTCTACCCACGATGCGAAGGGCGCTCTAACTAAACGAACTCTTATCTCAAAAACGGCACCAGTGAGCAAAGCTAGTTGTATTTTGGGGGTGTTGTTAGTTTCCCGTGCCACTGAGGCCTGCCACATTAAGTACTTCCGTATGCCCAACATTGGGGGAATTATTGTCTTCTTGACTGGAACTTCTTGAATAGTGTGTGTAAAGAAACGAGCCACAGGCCTCCCGGTTAGCGGACTGCTCTCCCATGAGCTGAGCAGCCGTGGGCGCTGCCCCACGTCACAACCGTACTTTGCGTATTTTTTGTCTCTGCCTAACGGCTTGACAGGCCTACCTCGTTATCGCTACCAATAAACCGACTAGGGGATTCTATAAGCGGTCGGACATTCATATCATCCAAATGCATAAAAAGGTTTTTCTACAAAATGACGAGTTTACCACCTCAATTTTTACTGACTACGCTGGTAAATTTCTTCGTTTAGAATAATCCTAAACGTGACAAAAGAGCATTCAGACTGGTTGTCAATCAACAGCATGCATGCCACAAAGTATCGTAACAGCCGAAAGTGCAAAGTTTGAGGACCTGGTCACTAGGCTAGGGCAGTTGTTCCCAATCTGAGGATGCCGGGCTCTTTTTAAGAAAGTTACGAATTGCTTTGCAGTAGGACGGGGTCTTTATTTTTCTTCTATTTGAAATTACTCTAAAAAAATCGATCAACAAAGACGATACGTTTCACTGAACGTTCGGAACTAACTCCCCATCTGTTTGTTAGAAAATCACTCAGTATCTCGTTACCAGTTGGAACATTTTTCTCTGTGCGTTAGTTGAGTCTGTCCTGGAAATTCTAAGGTAACTACGCTACGCATCTTTCCCCACTCTCTTCGTTTAATTATCTCTGCGGATGACTGAAAACGAGAATCGCATCCCTCTGTATCAATGGACTTTACTTTACACCTCTAAATGTGACGGAAACGCGGGCGCTTTTGAATCTCATGTATGAAACGACACATTCTGTTTGGGCAGAATTTTTAAACCACCTTCACACATGAGAGAGGGCTTATTCAAAACTTCACTTAGGATGATCAGTATTCACAGCTGCGTTTCCATCTGATACCAACTTGACCTAGCCATTTCTGAGAATCTGGAAAATTTGCACTGTGGATTGTACTCAACGAGAGGAGTTTTTTGAACCCAAACTCTGACAGACCATTCTTTTTTTAACAGAAAATGACGCGGTTTTTATATCACTGCCATTTCAAGGTACTCAGCTTACGAATGATGCTATCTGCATCGCAGCCCAACCCAACTAAGGGCGCCGTTTTTTTCAATCCGTTCACAGATGGCTCAAGTGGGCAGAGCGTGAATTTACTAATTGGAAGGTCCGTGGTTCGAACCCGACCTCTGTCTCTCGACTTCCCCTGTCAAGGCTTGGGCAACCTGGCAGTATCCCAGCCCTCGTGCTTCCTTCGGGTTGCATGGCAGCTAGGCACTGAAGGGGTGTTACAGCTGAACGATTTTTTATTTTTACTATAGACTAGTGAGCTACTCTGTTTTAACTGAAGTTGCGGTGAAGAGAGTATAGGCAAAACCGAAAGTACCAGTGGATTGATTTCCACAGTCCGTAAATCAGAGACTATTTCAGCATTCATTGCTCAGCTCGAGTATATTTTTCGCAGACTGCTAGACATGTGTATGGGAAATGCTACAATCCGAACCAACATAGTTGTTGTACCACTTCATCATCTGAAACGAACTCGATTCGTCTAACTGTTAGTGATGCATCATTGGACAAACATCTTCAGACGATCAAGAGTTTCGACGTTTCAAGTTCACTCCACTGTCATGGTGACCTGTTGACTAGTTGTGTTTGTTCCGAATCTGGGGTTGGTCCTTGAATCGCTCATCCGTTTTCGCAAATTGGATTGATTTTGTGTGATATCCTAACGGTTGACATGCTTTGGTGAAAAGCAACAAGTTGAATGCTGACTTCTTTGTTTGTGGAATGCTATTCGTTTTTTGGTAATTTCCGGTCGGACTCGCCTTCCCTCCGTCCGGTTAACAGTCCTGTTCGTTTTCATGGTACTGTACCCTCAGGAGTCACTAGCGGCAGAATCTTTTGAAATTCCTCTCCACTAACATTGACCCCGGAGACGTCATCTTACCGCGTCTGTTTGGACGCTCCCACCTCGTGAACAGCGAAAAGTGATCCCTTTCGAACTGTACCCAGCTTCTCGGACAACAGTTCTCTGGTGTACACAACATTCCAAGATCTTTACGCAGGATTCATTACAAAATAGCCTTTTCATAGGTTTCTGTCCGATGACCGGAGCTCACCGAAGTTGAACACCTGTGAAGCCGTTCAGCTCTTCCAGTTTCTGACAAGCCATGTTTGATAGAAATGGAACACCAGTCACGCCTACTTCGTTCCAAATGCAACTCATTGTTCTGGTGGAATAGAATTAGATGGTAGTCACGGGGCGAGACTTGTCACATTCCCAAGCTTTTGCCATGTGCGTTTGTCCTGTTCAAGGTTCGGATCGATAAAAAATGGAGCAGCTGTAGCACTCTTTCGATGACTCGCTACCACGCCAATCTAAGTAAACGCGAGGTCTGAGATACTGTCAGGCTGACCAAGTTTAGAAAAGAGTAGTCGAGATGCAGAGGTCGGGTTCGAACTACTTACTTACCTTCCGGCCAGTAAGTTCGTGCGACCAAGTTTAGAGTAGTCGAGATGCAGAGGTCGGGTTCGAACTACTTACTTACCTTCCGGCCAGTAAGTTCGTGCCTTAACTATTGAGCTGACCAAACTGTCCGGAGTTTGTACGATTGAACCTTGCATGTGGTTTGAGCAGGACTGGTGGAAATCGTCACGAGCAGGTTTGATAAAATGCTCTGATAAACTGATTGAAATATTTCTGCTTCGGCGAAGTGGACTTTGTCCGACCTTTCTGTATTAATCTTGCGTCACTGCGTCACTACCTGGACTTTTTTGAAGCTAGACCAACTCAAGCTCTTTGTAACGTTGAGAAAAATGGCTTTATCCACGTGCTCCCTTTGTGTTTTTTTGTCATTCTAGTCCCTTGAAGCCACTCTGAATGCCTTGATACCCCACCTGGTTGGTGAGCGTGCAGCGGGAGAATCGCCTACACCGGTTCTACACCCACATTTAGTGGATCATGGCCCGTTTTCTCGCTGTCACTCGGCCGCCATCCCTGGTCGCATTCATTCCCCACCATGTCCGAATTTGCCACGCCCCCGTCGAGTGCACAGCTTACATGGCTTCTTACCAAATCGAAAATTGTCGTTCCACCATCAACAGTCGTACAAATGTGCAAAATCACCCTGCAAGGCAATGGGAATTTCAATTTCGGAAGGTATCGTTATTGTTCAGTTACTAGTTCGTGTTACTTCTCTAGGTTGATGTACAGTTAGACCATTAGGGTCAGTTGTGATGTGGAATCGGACTAGCGGAATGGCCTGATAAATGAGAAACAGAGATTCCAAGTTTTCAAATCTCAAGGAATCGCTTGTTCTAGCCGTTCACCTACTCAATGAGCTTTAGGTTAGACCTTGTAACACGTAAAGCGCTTGAGCATATGAGTTATTGTCAGTATTTTTCGTCTCGCCCCTCTCCACAGTGTGGGGATCTGTTTCAGTCTACTCACGGTCCTCGTGCCTCACCTGTCGTGACCGCGGAATCGCCGTTTTTGTTTCACTCCAACTAGTTTACTTTCTGTTTGTTCAGATACAGAGGTTGTTGTCTGGCTGAATGCAGAAAGTGTCCCGATTCCTCTCCGCTGCCCGCATTATGTATTGGTATTGGTTAGCTCCGGCTGTAGTGCATCGTATTGCAACTGGAAAAACACTTTTTTACTGCACATATGTGCTGCCAGCCTCCTGGGAGAACATTCACCCGAGAGTCATCTTTCCTTCCTCAGTCATTCAGACTTCTGGGGGGTTGTTGGGTTTCAGCACTCAAGTGCATTGGGGCGAGGTTGAGGGGCACATTGCAACGACCTTACTCATTTCAAACCAATAGTCCATGCTTTAAAGCGTTGAGAATATCTTTCTGCGAACAGTTCGTTTACCCAGGCTCTGTTAAGTGAAACACCTCCTTCCAGTTGACCACTTTGGAATGATTTTTTTTAGAGTTTCTTGAAGGATCACTATTCATAGGGCTGCTGGAAATTCCACAACAACCCACGATCGGTTTCACCCATCATGTAGACGCAGGCCTCAAGTTCGCATCAAACGTGTGTTCTAATTTGATGATATGAATTGCACATAGTTGGTCAACCACACCAATTAGGTTTTAAGGAGAGACTCAACTAAATCCCAACTGAATCGATCGTTTATTATATTCTTCAGCTGAATGTGCTGCATAAAGACCGTTTCATAATGGAGTGATATCACAGTATGATTTCTTCGAGGGCGCTGGAAACTCCGCGGATTCCCTATGATTTGAGGCCATGTAGGTTGACGGAAATATGGGGCTATGTCTACCTGGTAAACCCCAAGAAGGGCGAAACCGGTCGTACATTGCTCCACTGTTTTCAGCAACCTTATATGTAGTGCTACTTTCCGAAGCTATGCCGCGATATCTGGGATTTTGTGCCAACTGAAACACGAGGTGGCCTTTGTGCAGTACATTCGGTTCAGTCTCCCGTTAAAACCGAGATGATGTGCAAATGATTGTATTTCGCGGTTCTTATGGAGTTTTAATATTGTTGATATTTCATCCTTTCTCGCAACCTTTTTGGGTATCTTACGGGCGCACTTCGTTTATTCTGTGTTCTCTTCACTAGTTCGAAAGTGTCCCAGCTTCAATTTTCCACCTCATCTGCTTTTCGATTATTTAAGAAACCCCATATCCCAGTGACATCAGAAGACAAAAAACTTTGACTCTACTCGCGAAACTAGAAGCGCGGCGTGATTCACAGTTGCGAAGCCTTTGTCTGATCGGTCGAACACGGCTCGAACAACATCATACTCCAACAAAATCGATAATCCCGTCTCAGACAGCAGTACTTCATCCTGGCGCGTGCGGTGGTAACACTCCAAAGGACGTGGAATACTTTCCCACTCATCTGGGTCGCCGGCACTTCCCCTACACATGGAATAGAGGACGTCTTATTGGCATGGGTAAGCTTGAAATTATTGTGTATGCCGTGATGCTGCCTTGCTAACTGGTGTGTTGCTGAATACTGACTAAGGGAGAGCAAAGTGAACTGAGACGGACCCGAACAGGAGGCGTGTATTTGAGCAAACGACAAAGATTGGTACAGCCTGCATCATATGATCGAAACAGCAAGACGTGGGACGGCTAAAGACATTGCCAGACAGTCGCGTCATCAATGGCGCCGGTGTATCCGAGCTATTGCGTTCAATGCAATGCCCCTACCCCATCTCCCCAATGAAAAGTCCACTGACAACTCTGTAGTTACACACCAGTTGTGCAAGTTACTGCCTCCAGTGCACAGCTACCTACTCGACCTCCCCAAGTCAGCGGTGAACGAAACTGTGGAAGCTGGAACTACTGACGTCAAGTACGCGGCTTTTACGGCTGATGATAGTGAGACAAGGTCATCTGCAGACGGCTGGCATACACCTCCCCAAACTGATCACACGAAGAGCGCATCTCTAATTGAATTTTGAGATTTCATTGCTTCACGTGATGGACCTATCGACATGTCAGCATTCTAGTTATTAGCTTGGTTGTACGCTTGAATCAATATGTCCAAATACTGGTAGCTGGGATGAGCTTATTGGCTGTTGTTCAGGTGATAGTTGATCTGTTTGTAGATCCTGGTAGTTGGTTTGCAAACGCTTCGTCGCCAAGCTAGGAGACATCGCCAGTACACGGTTGGGTGGCTGATACCCTTAATTGTGCTAAGGTTTACGCTGTTTCCAGGGCCTAACTTCATGTGCAACGTGGTTGGTTGTTCAGGAATAAAGTAGTCTGTAATTTAATGGGTCTGTTGAGAACTTGTGTTGCGTTGTGTTTTGGTGACGAAGCGTTTGTAAGATGTGCTGTCACCGTCACCTGATCAACACCCAATCAACCGTTGGATCAGTTGGGTACATTCAATTGGAGCGAAAGATCGGGATTTTCATTGGGAACACCCTCGAGATTTCGAACTCCGGGGGACCATTTCACCTGCGAAACTCACCTATCTCTTTCCCACATCCATTTCTTCCCTTTTTATTATCTGTGTATCCTTTTTGTAACCTTCGAAGGGGGTCGTCAATGTCCTCTTCGTATTTCGGAAATTTTACAGGCAATTCGAGACTTTCTCATTGGGATTTTTCTCAAATGAACGAACGTAGCGTGTGATGCTATGTACGATGGCGAGTTTCCAAGTGCAACATGTGTTTCATTCTGGTTATCCCACATCTTGAGGTAACTAGCGAGGATAATCGTGTGGTGAGGAGAGGGATGACTGTCCAAAGGGCAACGATGTGGATGCTAAAACTGCAAACTTCGTGGCTACTTGCATACTACTTAAGTAGGCAAAATGTGCAACAAGTTTTAAGACGCAATCATATCTTTCAGAATGAATAAATCCATTGGGCTGGCCCGTCACTGTGATCCAATTCATAGTGAGCACGGTTTCTCGCCCACTGCAATGCCACTGATACATGGATTGAGATCAGTGAATAATTCTGGCAATATCCGTACCTTGTTGGCCTGTGATGGCAGAGAGATAAGAGCTTCCAGGGAGGGATAGATAACCACCTCATTTAAGAGAAAGAATTCACTGCTTGTTTTACACCCTGAATGTACTGCAATTCTCCCATTATTTTCGACTACTGCAAGTTTACGTAGTGTTGTTTAATCGGTGTGACTTAGTGTCTGTTGACAGCGAGGGCTTGGTTGTAACAGCACACAACGTTGAGGATAATGACGAAAGTGAGTTGTCGTTCAACGATGTTAAAGTGAGCGTTGATCTCATTCACGATGTCGGCCGCGTGATCTTCCCACTTACGCTGACATCAATTCAGAACTCCCTGTCTACAAGGTGCCCCAGGTACTTCTCATTCTTAGTTAGAGATTCGACCGAAGGCTATGGGGGCGAGATGGACCAAGTGGTTAGAACCCGACCTCCGTCTCTCGACTTCCCCTATCTTGGCTTGGGCAACCTGGCAGTATCCCAGCCTTCGTGCGACCTTCGGGTGGCATAGCAGTTCGGGTGCTACAGCTGAACGATATGAACACCTAGTGTCCTCACATAGGGATTTAGCAGGATTTTTCGACCAGAATATGAGTCAGATTCAACGATTTCTTAGCTTCCTCTAATCCAACCAATATTATTCGATAAATTATGGGTCCGCTCCAGCAGGAGAACGAAATACCAGTGCTGCTGCGTCCAAAACGAAAGAATATTGTTGTCAGCGATTTGTACAAGTGTCCCATGGCATACATGCAGCAGCCGCGGATACGCTGTGGCAGTTCTTTCACCCTGGCTCTGTGGCTCTTTGAGACAGCTGTGTCTCTATGCACCGTACAAGTGCTCGCTCTGTTCTCACACTAGCATGCGTGTTCTTCTAAAGAACCTATACAAACGGTTGCTTGAACATCCCATGTACTTCCGGATAGCAGTGCATGAGCACTTGATTGCACAGCCTTCATTTTTTTGGGAGTCGCAATCGCTTCATCGAGATGTCGTAAGACAGCCTATCAGAATGATGTAGTTGATATTCGACCGCATACTGCGGACCCTTTTTCCCATTTTGCTTGTTTTTATAAGGGAGACCCAGTTCATAGCGCTCTGCAATGAGTGAAATGAGGTGGAGACTCTTGATAGTGTGGGGAAATTGGGGAGTTTCATCCTGTAATTGAAACCAATCTGTGCTGAAAAGCGGAGACCGTTTGGGATCCGGAGTGTAGCCATGGATAGTGGTTCAGTTTCTGCACGAGTTGTAAAGTGTATCCTGCATCGTTAGCGCAAGGCATCGCCGGAAAATTTAACGGTCCAGAACGATCTCCTCAACATACCCGTTAGACAGAAGTCCTTGTAAAGAGAATAGTCGAGGTATTTTGTAGTTTTTGGCTTCTTATCGAGAGGGATTACCCTACTGGCCATGAAGAGCGATCAAATGCAAGTTCCAAAAGCATTGTTGGCTAGTTTCGCTACAACGTCCATCTTCACTGTTGGGATTCTGTTTTCCGAACTGTCTTCAGATGCGCGATTTACACTCTGAGCAGGATGTTACGCTTAGGGATAGTGCGAACAGTATGACATGTGGTCTTATGGATGACTTGTCCAAACCACTGTGGTCGACAGCGCTGAAGCACCTCCGAAAAGCGTCATTAGGCCGAAAGAACCGAATCTAAAAAAATCGTTCAGCTGTAGCACCATTCCGGTGCCTAGCTTCCATTCCACACGAAGGAAGCACGGCGGCTTAGATGCTGCCAGGTCGCCCAAGCTTAGACAGGGCATGTCGAGAGGCAGAGGTCGGGTTCGAACCACGGACCTTCCGATCAGTAAATCCGCGCTCCAACCACTTTGTCCATCTCGCCTTCCGAATCCGACAGACACATGTCTCCTCCGAGCTTCGTTCTGATGACCAGTTGGTTTTGAAATCCTTTCATAGGGAATACATACGCTGAGTAATGACGGTTTGCTGTGTTGGTTTACAATAGTCTTGATAAGCTGGGTTTTCTTCTTCGAGAATAGGAAGGTCGTCTCATCTGTGGAGTGTAAAAAGACGAGACCAGCTAGATGGTGTTCCACGTGCCGCGGATGTTCTCTTTCACCCCTCGGTCAAGCTGCGGAGTACTTTCTTTCAGTTCACTGTGCGAGAAAATCAGGCGAGAATCTCTTCTCCGTCAGGTACCAAAATCCAGGAACAACACAGCAGCTTCCAATTAGGAGTGCTGCTTACGTCCATGGAGAAGACGCACTGACTCTCTGGGTTGGTGTTACTCCGCATTCAACGATAACCTACAGCCTACCTATCCATGGTTAGGCTCAATGGTTAGAGCGCGCATTCACTACTCAGAAGGTCCGTGGTTCCAACCCAACCTCGACTTCTCCTGTATAGGCTTGGGCAACCTGGCAGTATCCCAGTCCTCGTGCTTCCTTCGGGTGGTATGGTAGCTAGGCACCGAAAGGGTGTCACAACCTTGTTCAGGTCCATCCTACGCCTTCATTGATCGGAGGTTGAAAATAGCATTTGAGGATTTCTGACTATTTGTCGAAGACATATGCTGGTCCTTGTGCTTTCTGATCTTGTCCACAAACGGTGTCTTAAGCATTGTTGTAGAACCCGACTTACTCATGGCTGACCACCGACAGTCGATTATTGTGTTAGTAAAATGATCCTAAACACGGCATTTTTTAAACGGAAATTAATACTTTGTTCTAACCGACTATTGACTCGGAACAATCTGACTGCTTGCAAGTGGCCGAGTTTTTCATCCAACCTGGACTTGATCGACATACAATGAGTGTAGTAGATCATTTGAGTTCATTTTCACCACATTTCTCGTACCAATCTAATAGGTGCCACTGGAAAAGTTTTTCAAGCGTTCAACCTTCAAACACAGGAAATGATGGCCGTAAAGGAGATACAACTTGACCACGACTTCGATGACCAGTCTCCAGTTGCTTGTCCCGAAACTCTCGAGCGTCTGAATTCGTTCAGACGAGAATGTGACCTGCTGTCGAATCTATCGCATCCGGCTTTGGTTCGTTTTCTTGGTGCAGATGAACAAACACCTCGAGTTTTACGCCTTTTCACCGAGCTATGCAGCGCTGGAACTCTGGCTGATGTTGTCAAGGACTCTCCATCCGAATCGTTGGTTCGGTGCTATGCAAGTGACCTGGCGAGTGCCATTGTATACCTTCATGAAAGGGTGAGTTCGTTTATGGATAGAGTCACTCTGAGTTAGATTTCCGGCACAGTCCCCCTATTATCGCAGCTAAACTAGAGTCATGCAGGGAGTTGGTGTTGGTTCTACGCAGCGCGTTATCCATCTATGTCTTCCGTTCCTTTCCTACACAGTATCTGGGTAGACTCCAATCACTTTGAGAGACAAATATTTCTGAGGATAGACTTGCTCACTCCGACTCAACTACCTGTTCAAACGTACGTAGAGGTTGTCCACAAGACCTAAATCTACCTGATCGGTGAACCACATCAGGTGGGCGGCGCTGCCGCACAAAGTTACTAGGCTGTTGTTGTAGGTGTCAGACAAACTGCATGAGTACGTTCAACCGATGGGATGCGTTCTTCTTGTCTTGTTCGACTGTCGATAACACGCTTATCTCCCATGTACAAGGTTCGAGTCCTGGCATGTCCACTGGAACGCACCAGTCGGGAGTTCTGGTAAGCCATCGACAACACGTCATCACTGCTGAAACTCCTATGGTTCGCGGCCGTACAAGACACATTTATTTCCAAGCCTCAGTATGGAAAGGCCTCACCAACTAGTCAAGTACAGTTGACCCCACCGACAGTACACTAACCTTTTGTGATAGCTTTCACGCGGTCCTGTCACGTCCAAATCTGACCACCTGCCTGTTTGCTGCGAGAAGAAACACTGTTTTCGCTGAGCTTGTCAGTGTTGGCGCCAACCTAAATGACGTCATCACGGTATCGGCGTTCAGTTCTACATCATCAGGCGACGAATAGGTGACCGCGGTTTTAATACCTGACAGGACCATCGCTATTTAAAAACACCGGTTTAGTAGAAATCTAACGAATCCCGCAGGTACGCATAAATGGTCAGGTTGATCGGAACAAGTAACGACCCTGCTATGTCAACGTAGTCAGAAGTTCAGTGGTTTTTTGTGCCTACATTGGAATCTGTGAACTGAACCGCATCATGGTTGCAACGGGTGAACGGTATCTTCAAGTGACGTGTAATACCAGAACCTCCGGCAGGGCAAAACAAAGTCGGAGCTGGGTTTCTATACGGTACTATTAATGTAAGTCACAAATTATACAAACCTCGACAGTAGATACTCGTCCAAAACAAACGGTCCACTTGGGCTACAAAACTACAAACCAAGGGAGCAAACAGCCTCCCACCTGCACAAAGTCGGCCACAAATGGCCGGATGACTTCGAGGCCAAACGATTGAAGTAGTAAGGACAAACAAGCGCCAGTTCAGATAAACGCACTAAACACAAATGTGGAGCGGGGGTTACAAATAGAGACAATAAACGTGAGGAATTTCAATTGTCAACATAATGGATGATACAATGATAAAAAGACAATGTGTGTCAGACATTTTTCAAGAATACTCAGTTGTTAAAATGCGAACGTACTAACCGGAAGGACGCATGACTGGAACCCAAATTTTGCATGTGTCTAGCCTTAGACGGCCTGACAGTATTTCAGTCCTGGTGGTTCTCTCGGTTGGTATGGCAGCCAGGCACCGAAAGGCTGTTACAGCTGAACGATTATTGTTACTTTCATAAAGGAAACTACTCACATGGTTGCTGAAAACTCTTCGACAGCCCACGACTGGTTTTGCCCTTCTTGGGGCTCATCAGGTAGGCGCAATCCCCGAGTTTTCGTCAACCTTATTTTCTACTTATTTATGTTTTCATGAGCTGTCAACGACTCAGTTCTGATCCCGAAAGTACTCGGTTGTGAACGGTGCTCTCGCTGCTCAATTACAAAAAGCTGTTTTCTAAAATGATGAAACAAGTGCTAAGCTGGACGCGGTTCGAATCTACCAAAAGTCCAGTCCTACTGTATGTAGACACGGTGTAAATGAGACCACGAGTGGAAACGAATTCCTGATTTCGATGGTGAAAATCATCAGTTTTTTTGTTAAAATAACCATACTTTCATAAGCTTGATTTGTCATGAGCGATTACCAAAGAATGTGTGGTGACTTCAGGGCACTGAGTTCAGCTGATCGTGATGTACACCGTGAAGGGTTGCCGGCCAAGCCACGCTGTTGATTCACAGTAGGGGACAACCAGCCTCTAATGCTTGTGGGGTCGAAATGCTCCCGGGGCGTCCGCTCACAGATATCGAGTACGCAGACGACATAGCTCTCCTGGGATAATTCAAACAATATTAAGTAATATAAATAATTCTGCCTCGCGGTTCGGCATGCGCTTCACACCTGCAAAGTGTAAAGTGCTACTGCAAGATTGGGTGGGCTCGAACCTTAGCCTCATGCTTGCGGATGAAC